TTCTGAATTTTCCATGATTTTGAAAGATTCCAGACTCTGAGCCCCCAGCCCATCTTGCTGGTGGAAAAGAATGGCTACTTGCTCCAAAGGCACTTGCGAAGCAATTCACGCTTGAGCCCAGAGCCATAGAAGGTTTGCAATCATGTGCGTATATATGTATGTGTATATATGAGCAATGTGTGGGTGTGTATTATATATATATAAGTATAACAATAAATAATGAGAATGATAATCATAACGATAATAATAATCGTATATTATAATTCTTATTATTATTATTACTATTCTTATTACTATTATTACTATTATCATAATGTATTTGAATAAACTTGTTACCGCCGATGGAGCTGCAATTCTGCGGAGATTACCAAATTTACCAAGGTCTTTGGTGAGCATTCGCTTCTTAGGCTTGGATACTTGAGGCGTTGCAGGATATCGTGGCTACCTGCACTTATTGTCGCCCGTCCGGGGTGGCTTGGCACCCCCACAGCCACTAGCTCAGAGACTAACGCTGCACATGCCTCTTGCGCCCACCGCACCTGTGGGAGACCAGCTGCGAGTTCCCCGCTGCACCCGGCGCTTCCCACAGATGCCTCTTGTCCCTTGTGCTGAAGTGGTGGTAGGCCTCAACCAGGCAGGATGTCATGTTCAGTACTAACCATCCAATGTTGGGGTACTTGTATGCCTACTTGTACCCATTTTGAACATACACCAAATTGACTTCCAGGCAAATATACCAGGCAAATATTGTTCAATTGACTTCCAAGTACATAAATTTGGTTCCAAAAGTTGGTATCCCCTTCACAATTCTTGCGTCCACTAAAAGGCCACCCAGCTGCGGCCCAGCCACGCTCATCCTTCACTTTGGGCCTAGGCGGAAAAAGGGACTCCATGGAAGAAAAAAACGAACTCTCGCGGATGAATGTTCCATACATCCCATTGAATCAATGACTGCTGCAATTCACTGCAATTCCAACATATTCTCAATATTCTAATAGAGAAAACGACGATCAATCCCCAGTGCATTTAGGGTACCCCCAGTTTCAAACACCCCAATTGATGGTCCAACAGCTTTCGGACACTCTGAGGCACCAAGCATCGCTTCAGAAAGCCATGCACTGGAACCCACAGGGCTCGACGATGGATGCAGCAAACAAGTTATCAGCCAAGGGAAAATGAATGGCCAGGCTGGGTTCAGATATGTTCAGATGCTTGGTTTTAAAAACCTAGGCCAAAGGTCTTGGAACGGATACTGTTGGTACCTAGTCTTGGATATGCCTGGCAAGCATCCGCGAAATTGCAACATGTTAGTCTCACTGTCCCCAAGTTAGATTGCATTTCCAGTGATTGAAGAAGTGTCCATGTTGAATCCTTGTGGCGTTCACCCAAGCACAAAAGTGGATCATGAACTTCTTCCATCCTGCCATGTAGCCTAGACCTAAGTGCTGGAGCCAAAGACACCAAGGTACAGAAGTGTTACCTTTTATAAAGCCTTACGCTTGTGGTCATGCTGTAGAAAATCAATGTTTCTCCTCATTTGTAGTGCTGCGATATCTCTGCCATGTATAGCCGCGGCCGCTTTTTCGCTGCAACCGAACATCGGCATCGACGTCGCGGTCGCATTGATAAAGGCGACACCCTGCCCAGCTTTCGCTCGCAAACACGTCAAGCTTAGCTCTGAGTCCAAGGGCCACCAGGGTGGATGTTGCTGTCGGGCACAGCCATCTCCCCATTGACAATCTCCTGCCATGCAGCCACAGGCCATGAAAAGCCACTGGCCATGCAGGTCAAGGCCAGGGGGACGTCGATGTTCAACTCCTTGGTCTCATCATTGGTGCGGATCAGATAGCTGCGGCCAGCCCAACCGATCCAGCCTGCAATGTACAGGAAGATGGTGGCAGGCCACATCACACTGGCACGCACATTCCATTCACCAGTGGCCACCACACGGGGGTTACCATCCTTGATGCCGCACAGCCTGTCTCCGTAGGCCTCCTCACGGGCTTTGATCATGGCAACCTTCTTGTTGAATCGAGCATACACTGCCGAACCCTTGGCATACCTGGCCTGCTGCTTGGTGGTCTTGTACAACTCATCCTTGAACTTCTTGTGGTAGTACTTGTTGTTCTTGCAAGGCTCGAGGATGGGGGAGGCCTTGATGGTCCAGTGCTCTGGGGTGTTCTCCAAGTCAATGTCAACTCCACCAAACATGTCCAAAGGCTTGGCACTCACAGGAGCGCTGGAAGACACCGCCATCACCAGGCCAGCCAGCAAGCCAGCAGCTGTCCACTTCAGAAAGGATCCTGCGGTGTCAGCTGATTCTGGCAGTTGATCACCAGTGAATGGAGACTCCTCAAGGGCTCCCTGTGGTGTTGCAGCCCTTCCCAGCTCCACCTGTCGTCCCTGGCTGCGTCCAACACTGGGCCCCACAAAGGCGCAGCAGGCCGCGAAAGCCGCAGCAGCTGCAGCCAGCGCAAGGAGACTCACACGGCGCGCCATGACCGAAGAGTTCTACACAAACAAAAAGTTGAGCCTTGGCTCTGACGGACACTGATGCTCTTTAAAGTCTTCAGTGTGACTCAAAAATCAGTGTCTCACATGCGAGTAGTGACAGGTGGGACAGGTGGGAAATGAGGAGCAGACACATTTTAGCTTCAGCTTTTAGCAATGCAACAAAGTGTGGCAATTTGCATTTTGCAGCAAGTCATCATGAGAACATGACATATGCAATGCGAAGCAGTTCATATTTTTGGTTCAGCCGCTTGATGCGCTGCCATCAAATGCCACCTAGCATTCTGTTGGTTGCGGCTATGGCAGGAGCTGAGTATGCAGTGCTGCATGCCGTGCTGCGCATCTTCTTTGCTAGGAAGTACCAGTGCAATACGCTTGGATCTGTTGGATCGAAATCATATACACATATTGTTTTCTTGCGGCGATCGTATGTCTGTCTGTGTGTGTGAGTGTGAGGTAAGCAACAATAAATTTCCTCAACCATATCCACAAAATCCCACAAAAATCATTGTGCATCGTGATTTGCTCAAAATATTCTTATCCCAACAGTTTCAACCCGCAGCTGTCACAGCTGTGGCCTTAGGGGCTAGGGCGCAGCGCCCAAGAGCTCTCGCTTCATGTCGTTGCACCTGCTTTCAACTACCAGTGGTGTAGATCTTCTCTGTTTGGGCAGCTGCTAAAATCTTGTAATCACTTGGATTGTTCGAAGGCAAAGAAACAAAATCTTGTGATCTCAATTTGTCTCAGCAGGGTGCCACTGAGCGCCCCGGACTCCCTAGAAACCTCACGAAAAATCCGTCGCAGCACATCCGCCTCGCAAAAAAAGCAGGATCATCCCCTTTTTCGGAGCTGATAGTTGTCATGAGAAGTCCCCAAGTGGGTCTATCCCATTTGTACAATTGCGTTGTAAATGTTGTAAGGTGTCATATATGAATTTATCATAATGTCTCGAAAAATGATGTTCAAATGATATATCAAGTGTCATAAACATACCAGCTACCAGTGTTTCTACATATCTAGTTTCTCGGAGTTGCAGCTTTTAAAACATCAAATATCATAAAGATATATGGCTATGGATCAATACCTATACATACCATTTTTAGGGGGATGAACATCCATTTACCAGCTATTTTGATGTTCACCAGGGGGATAGGGTTTTGACCCATCCCCATATGGCAATGGCATTGTCTGAAAGTATGGTACCCAAAGATCCAATGATTTATCATATACTATCATCATTTTCCCTATGAAATGGCTACAGTTGGTGGTTAAATCCCACAATTTCAGACCACTTCCCAGGTACAGATCTGTTGCCCTCCCAGGTACGGGGCTGGGGTCCCAGGCGTCGCCCTCTGGCTGCTGCGCTAGGAGCTCTCCCAGCGCCTCGCAAGGAACTGGAGATGTGATCCACATCTCTGATACACATACATATACACATACATATATACATATATACATATACATATATATATATATATGGCAGTGGGTCAAAACCTTGTACCCCTGTAGTTCACATCAAAATAGCTGGGATTTATGGATGTTCATCCCACTAAAAATGGTATTAATAGGTATTGATCCATACCCATATATATATACATATTCATATACATATTTAGAGATAGATATAGAGATAGGATACACATGTGTATATAGTACACAGTACAGTATATAGATGTAACAACAAAAAATAGATTGATTGATACACGGTCCTTCAAACTGACTTGATCCAATACTGAAGGGTTCCAAGAAGGGATTCTATATATATATAATGAAATGAACCCAAGAAACCAGCGCGGCACCTTCAAACGTGCAGTCCAGCTCTGAAAACCTCTGGTGATCTGGGCCTCACAGCGTTGGTACAGTCAGTTACCACATGGTACCTGGGTCAAAACCCGGGTGTCCTACTTTGCATGATTGCAGTAAGCAACATATTTCTACCCTTTATACATGCATTATACTGTATATATTAATATATTTTAATATATATTATATGTTTTAGTATGTTTTAGTTATGAAGCCCACAAATCAGGGACTTGCGATCACCAGTGTTATGTACTTAGGTCATTGAGGCTCCCAGCCAAACGGCCAGCATAGTTTCCCTGGCAGTGGAAGGAGAAGCCCCATCAACGAACCATGGCAGCTATTTGGCCAATTTGAACTTCAACCTTTGACTGTGGCTCAACAATGAGCTACCACAGGACCGACAAATGGCTAGGGTCATTCTTGGTCTTTGGCCTAAACAATAATAAACCATCCCCCAAATGACCATAAATAGGTGGTATACACCATTCTTAAATGGGTGGTTGATTATTGTTTTAACATGTTTTAACCACATTACTGCATTCAGTTTCTTTCACCATCCATTTCTTCCAATCCAAACCCTTGCCAGCGCCTCCTTGTCCTGCAACAAAACCTGAGATTCTGTGGCTGAAATGCACGAGTAAAAACAGCATTGCCGAAACTGCTGGAAGGTAAAATTCCTGGAGGAAACTTGGGTTGACCTCTGAACAATAAGGTCACTAAGGGTACAACATGAAATGATCTGATTACATTACTATATTTACATGAAATCATATTGAATGTGTTGGTGGACTTCTTCCCTCTTTTGCTCGCTGCTAGTCGTCGTCGAGGTCAATGACCTTCGCAGAGGCCTTCAAGGGCAATTTTAGAACCTTCGGCTCACGTGGATGTTGACACATCTCACACTTCACCAGCTGGGAATGATTGGAGAAGGTGCACTTCTCGCAGCTCCATTCGGATTCTGTAGATTTCACTGGATCCTCTATAGGATCCTCATCCAACAGCACCACGGCACTGGTGGCCACTGGCTCCATGCGACGTCGCTTGGGCGACGCCTGGAAGAAGCTCTCGATGCGCCTGGAAGAAGCCGCACCACCGGGAGCACGTGCCTTGCGCAGCCGGTCCACCATGGTATCGACCCGAGAGGCACTGAACTGATGCTTTTCCACCAAGAGGTAACGCAACCCCTCCACATCAAAGGACTCCCGAAGATTTCGGATCGACTCAAGTGCATCGGCTTGAAGATCTTTGGCACCCTGCTGAAAGACTTTCTTTGCCGATTTCCAGTCCCAGTCCTCCGGGACATTGCAACCTTTGGGCCCTCGCCCTGCACGGATGGAAGCCACAACCTTCCCCAGGGATCCTTCTCGCTGGAAAATTTGCGCAGCCGTCTTTGGGCCGATACAAGAAAGGTGAGGCAAATAGTCACAACCACACAGGATACAGAATTCAATGAACTGATCTTGAGAGTAAGACAAGGCATCCAAGACTTTTGATAAATCGATCTCCTGTGCCGGTTTTGGTTGTCGCGCTCTGGACCCCTCTACATCAAAGAGGTTTTTGATCTGCCGCGGCGCACCGAAAGTCAGCACATCCATATCTTCTGTCACTGCGGCATACACCTGACCCTCAATGCAGAGTTGCGCACAAGCAGCCTCCGCTTCTCCAGGGGCTTCTACTACTGGCATGCCCATGGCACGTAAGATCTCCTTGGCATGTTCTCCATGCTCCTTGGTAACCCTCGTGCTGCGACTGGCTGCTTTGTAAACCTCTTCTCCTTTGGCACCTGAAGAGACTGCAGCCGCATGTTCCTCAGCTGCCTGCTCCCTCACCTCTCGCCGCGCAGCGTTGACCGCCATCTTCATATCTGGTGGCTTCCCATCGAAGACAAAAATCGGGTGCACGCCCGCCTCCAAGAGTTTCAAGGTGCGTAAAACGAAGCCCTGCAAATGCGACGTGGCCGCCCCCTGATTGTTTTGGAGATTTTCTGCAGCAGCTCCAGTCCTGACAATCGTCAAAAATTGATACATCCATGCAGACGCATCCACTGCAAGGCGTCGCCCGGTGTACCGCTTTAACTCAGAGGTGTTGTAAGCTTTTGGGGCCGCCTCAACAAGATAAGGGAACAAACCCTTGATGCCCATGGCGGCACTTGGCGCCTCTATTAAGGGTTTGTTTTGGAGATCAAAGTGTCACGTTCAAACAAACATTGGCGAAGCTGGCAACTACTCTACTCTTTGAAGGCAGTTCCTGTCCATATTTTGAAAGTCTTCAAGTTTAATTTGCTGTTACTGTTGTATTGGACTGGAAGAGTTTTGATGTAGAGGTCGACAGCGTAACCAAAGTTCATGTGGTGCTTACTGAACTAGCTGCGAACAGAAAGGAATCGTGGCCATGATAACTGCAGCATGTGCAGGACCTCGTGTGTAGCGCCACATCTGTCCTTGGTCCTGGACCCACTGGATGAATAGATTCAGTCATGTAGTATTTTTGAGGCCGATCCCCTCTGAGAGGAAGAATTGTTCAAGTTCACTGTTTACTTTTAGGCAGTGCCAGCAATCAACCAGGAATTTGCTGATTCATTGGATAGTTCATGATGGTTGATCGCATGATGCTGTTCTTGTTGCGTGCTTGTTTGATTGCTTTCTGGATGGTTGTGTGTTTCATCTTCACATGTCACCACTTGCAATATCTTCGACAAGACAATAATGAGTTTGGTTGGATCACCATGGTCATATTTTTTTGCTCACCAATTGGTCAATTATACCCCCGCCATTGTCCTCCACTCACCAGTTCAATCATTCTTTGATTCTTGAATCCCCAGCGCTGCTGAAAACTCCCAACCCAATGTTTGATGCTTAAATCAGTTGTTGTTGACCAGTCCCCATTGTTTATCTTGAAATCCCACTGTGTTCATAAGATTCAGTTACAAATCACCATAGTTTCATCATGTTTTACCATTCTTCACCCACCGAAAATATCAAAAAGGACAACTAGCTTGGTGCCAATCAGTTGTAGATACTCCGTTGGTGAATCATGATTTTTCCCGCAGAAAAATGCAACCAATTGAGCCAGGAAAAAAAGTTCGTGAAATTCCTCCGGTCCCATATATCCCATCAAAATCTTTCTGGCAATTAATCAACATATCTATGATTTTCATTGATTAAATCCATATTTTTTGAAGCTGAGATGCCGATGAAATCCCGAGTTTTCATGGAGAAAATTGTCATATCCATCATTTTCACTGGTGAAATCAGCTTCAATCCCTATCTTCATGCTGAAATCTGGTGAAATGTTCCCAGCATTTTTCCGGGTGAAACCACCACCCTTGGAAGCCCCGCACCTCCAGTAACTCCTGCAGCCGTTGCAGTTCATGATCCTCAGCGGCCTCGCCCAGCCAGTCGCGGACCAAGACCTGACATGATTTGTATTGTATACATGGGATAATTTATGTATTGTACGTATATTCTACATATATAAATATATATATGTAGACATATGTATGTAACTATGTATGTATGTATGTACGTACGTACGTACGTACGTATGTATGTATGTATATATATATATGCTACCCCCCCAAAGATCTACCATTTTTAGTTTTTTGTTCATGTCAAAGAGGTAGTATTTGTTGGGAACCTTTTGCAAAAACAAAGTAAGTACACTATTACTTTCAAAAAAGGTGAGCACATACTCATGTCAGAAAGCACATCATTTCTTGAAGGAAACAATCTGTTTTAAATTGCAGCGTTCCTTTCCATGCTTGAAAAAATTCACCTTCTTGCATAAACAAACTGCAATTTTCCTTCCAAACAAAGTATGACTTCGTTCAAGAAACGGTACCCCTACAGAATATAGATCATTCCTCTAAACATGCAGCGTTTTCTCTCTGAAGATGTGCAGTTGTCCTTTCAAACTAATATTAAGCCTTCCTTCAATCATACAGTATTTTTTTCAAAACAGCAGATTTTAACATGTTGGATATGTCTGTGTTTTTGATGCACCAGAGTAAGAATAATATCTTGAGCAACAATTTTTAATATACAATGAATATAGCTTCATTATAGGTTCCATATACTTTAATATACCAGTTTATTGACCATAAACATACCTGTATCTTTAATAAACCTTTGGCATACCTTCAATATTCCCTTTTAAATACCATCTAAAATAAAAATAAAAAAAAAACCCTTAATATAATATTAACTTAATATACAAATTAATTGGCCTTGAATATACCTTTAGTATACTTTGAAGATACCTTCAATGCATAAAACTTCGCTATACCATTTAATCTACCTTAAATTTACCATTTAATCTACCTTAAATATACCGTTTTATTCGCCATGAAAACATCTTTACTGCACCTTTAACATACCTCTCTACCTCTAGAATACCTTTTATTTTTCATCTAATTTGTCTTTAATAAACCTTTACTGTACCATTAAAGAATCGTTAATGTTCGATTTGTTTTACCATTATTATATTATTAAAAATGTCGTTTACTACACCTTTAATATACCTTAAAGGTATTAATGCACCATTTAATTGACCTTGAAAATACCACTATGCCTCTAAAATACCTTTTGCTTACCATTTAGTTTGCCTTTAATAAACTTTGAATATACAATCTATACATAGTTTATGCGTTTAGCACACCATTTTATATACCATGAATCTACCTCTACTGTACCGTTTGGTTGACTTTGAAAAAAGCTCATATATACCTTTAGTATACCATCTAATACACCTCTAATATACCATTGAATATACCTGTAGTATACCTGCAATATTCCAGTCTGGCAATGAAATAAATAAATATATATATATTATAAAATATAATTTAATATAATTTAGTATAATATATATATATATAATAATATAATATAATATGTTATAATATAATACAATAATACAATATAATATAATATAATATAATATGTTATAATGTAATAGAAAATAATAATCATATTTATATGTACCATATATCTTGAATATATCTTTAAAGAAACCTTGTGCTTACCACGCGGTTGCCTTTAATATACCTTGAATATACAATTTAGTCATCGACAATTTTCCATGTGGTATATCAGTGATACATACATATGTATGAATATGCATCATTAAAAATGTCGTTTACTACACCTTTCATATTTCTTGAAGGTATATACCGTATTATATACCTTTCATATACCATTTAATTGACCTTGAACATACATACCACTATACCTCTAACATACCTTTTATTTACCATTCAGTTTGCCTTTACAGTAATAAACCTCTTACATTTTTCCAAGTGCGTGTGCAAACGTTTACAAACGAGAGGAGTTTTGGATTCAAGATTCAAGATTCAAGGTCTAGAAAGAAGTTCTTGAATCCCATTCTTGAATCCAGCCTTGGCATTTGGAGCGCATTAGAGTACAGTAGTGTAATTTTAGCAGATGTTGCGGAGAGGTGTCGGTACTGGGGGTACTGGGGGGTACTAGGAGGTACTAGGAGGTACTAGGAGGTACTAGGAGGTACTAGGAGGTACTAGGAGGTAGTAGGAGGTACTAGCACCTGACCTAACAGGACTCCTGGAGAGAATCTTGGATCTGCTGCTATCATTACCTGGCCCTAATTTCTGACAATCCAAGATTCTCTCCAGGACTCCTGTGGAATCTTGGATCTTGGATCTTGGATTAGGTCAGGTACTAGTACCACCTAGTACCTCCTACCGTAGATGGACGAATTATTCAATCCCTTGTAATCCAATGACCCCCCGCACCCCCAATTACAATGTTGTTTTTTTGGTTTGGCTCGCTCCTTGGAATGGACGAAATAAATCAAACCCTAAGATCAGGAACAAAGATACGTAACCATAACCTTGAAATTTGGGGGGACAGGGGGTAGCCTACAACTCATGGATGCGGGGTTTGAATAATTTGTCCATCTACTGTAGTAGTACCTGCTGATGCCAGAGTTAGATGGTAGAATTTAACATTTTTTGAGGATTAAAGCCTCAGCAATGGGATATTGCCCCACTAGCATATTGAAAATGTGTCACACCACGCAATATGGTCCTGTATAAAGGTTAGACGGTTAGACTAATAAATGCTAATAGATGGCAACCCCCATTATGAACCTCAAAAAGGTAGATCTTTGGGGGGCTACCATATATACATATATATATACATATAATTATATATATACACATTTAAAATGCATGCAGCGTACATATATATATATATATTCACACATGATGTGTATGTACAAATATATAGACACCAACCCAGACTCAGACCTTTGCTCTGTCCGCGCAAAATTACAGCGCCTGGAGATGTCGCTAGTCGCAAGATATTTTCTGTCACTAGATGTTGTTTGACTTGAAAGAAACTCAAGATGACCTTGGATGTACATTTGAACCCCGTATGGGTAAATATTGGGTACCCGATAATTGAAGGGTCAATACAGTCACTACATGTCATTAGATAGATAAATAGATAGATAGAAAAATAGATAGATAGATAGATAGAAAAATAGATAGATAGAAAAATAGATAGATAGAAAAATAGATAGATAGAAAAATAGATAGATAGAAAAATAGATAGATAGAAAAATAGATAGATAGAAAAATAGATAGATAGAAAAATAGATAGCTAGAAAAATAGATAGATAGAAAAATAGATAGATAGAAAAATAGATAGATAGACAGATAGAAAAATAGATAGAAAAATAGATAGATAGAAAAATAGATAGATAGAAAAATAGATAGATAGAAAAATAGATAGATAGAAAAATAGATAGATAGAAAAATAGATAGATAGAAAAATAGATAGATAGAAAAATAGATAGATAGAGATAGATAGATAGATAGATCATTATACATATGTATACATATATATATATATATGTATACTGTGTATATATATGCACATATATGCACCGTATACATATAGCAAAAAGGATCAACTCCGCCATACCCATCTTGAAGCACAAAACTCGCCACTAGGATCCCTACTGATCCGGCCGGATGAAGCACACAGGACACCGGATTGTTGTCAACGAGTATCTGCAGGCAGAATGCAGGATGCTGCAGCAAATGGATTTCCAGAACTCATGTGCTACGTTGAGACACCCACCCTGCGCTGCATCTGGCAGTCGTCCACATCCATGGTGGAGCGGATCATTGACATATCCTGCACAATCTCAACAGGCAAAACATCAGCGCCCTGCCATGTTTCCAAGGGTTCATTCATCAAACGTGTGAGACATCACTGGATTCGGTGTAAAGACTCTTGGGGCGTCCAAAATCATGCGCCCTCGCACCTTGAGAAAAAAGCCTGGTACTTGACAGGGGGTGCACTGACCCCTAGTCAGCACCTCAGCTCTGAAATGTAGAAAATTCGGAGCGGCGTGGGTTCATCGTCAAAAACACGGAATATGCTCTCAAACATGCATGCAAGCAAACCCACAGGTTCCAAGATCAAAGTGTTGAAATAGCAGTAGAAGCATCTCAATTCATCTGAATTCCATGGGTCCCGAACTGTACATGCTGACAAATTTGACCCTGGGCACTGTTTGGAGTCCGTACGCGCATGGCAAAGATCTTGCCTCCCGGATCAACATGGCGCATCAGGGCCTGCGGGTTGGCGTGTAGCTACATATATATTTATATTTATATATATATAATATACACACACTATATATACACATATGTATGTACTGTATACATAAAGATTAGAAATATATATATATATATGATACTTAAGATTATATATATATATACAATATAATATATTATATATATACATAATTATATATGTCCATAATAATATATATATACATACTATTATATATACATAATATTATATGTACATAATATTATATATACATAATATTATATATATATATATATACATAATATTATATATATACATAATATTATATATACATAATATTATATATATACATAATATTATATATATACATAATATTATATATACATTATATATGTTGTACATATATAATTTTATATACAGAATATATATATCATATAGATGATATACATATGTAAGTTAATATATATATATACATATATACGTATATGTAATATGTTGAGTAAATCTATAAAAATGTATACACGTTAGTGCCACGTGGCAAAGCTCTTGTCCACCAGTCGGCCTTTGTGTAGTTCGGCGTGGAAGTGGTGTAGATCCACGGGCCTCAAAAATGTTAAGTATACCGTCAGTTGCTCAGAAAAATATTGGGTGCAATTCAACATGATACATTAACAATAAATATCCGGAAAAAACAGCAAGAATTAGATGAAATTATTCAACCACATGATGCATAAAAACGAAAATCTTGTGCCGTTTCCAAATCCTGTTCCAATCATCCGCACTCTAGAGCTGGGCATTTAAACTTTGAGCTGTGTCGGAAGGAGTGATTCACCATTGGATTTGACGGAATTATATAACGAGCCAACATATTGTGGGATATACGACCAAGAATATAATATTTGGAGTATCAAAACACAGGGATCGCTTTCTGGTAGATCATCCTTGCCGGTGTGCTTGTAAAAACACTTTTTGATGACTTTCCAATATCATGACTGTGCCAACGTTCTTGTGTTTTTTTTACTCCGAATCAAGTTGAATCAACTTGTTCACATAGGCAATTTCTGCAACACTCCGCCGTATCGGCATGCTCACGCAAAATGCAGGGGCACTGATGCATTCAGACTCCTTTTCATGATGCTTTAAAATGTTGCTATCGTCGGTTGCCTATCCCCTTCCAAAAGCATAGTGTCCGGTCCTTTTCCGTGGCCGATCATCTGCGTCGCGCAGGGGGATCGAAAATCAAAAGGAAGTTTCTCGGGCAACGAACGCAATGCTCGGGAAGAGTCCAAAATAAAGCCCTGCAAGAGCGGGAAGTTTCACCAACCTTGCAACTTTGGAGTCATTTTTCTTGGTTTGTACTGGCTGGCAATTCTCCCTCAAGCAAAGGTCGTTCGGTGTCCAATAAAGACGGCGACTTCGCCGTGCTGTACACGCCGCACTCCTAGACCTCCCGTTGCGTACATGCCAGCGCCAGCAATGACAGGTCTGGATGGTACGACCAGTTCGGGTCAATCATTAAATTGTAGCTATTGAGAAGGAGCAGGAGCAGAAAGAGGACATTCAGGATGATCTTTTGTTCCTCAGGTCCACCGAACATCGTGGAACTAACCTGCCAACCTTGAGTCGAGAGTAGACCAAGTACAATCAAGACCAGGACATCAACATCAAGATCCGTGTGCCATGTCTAATAGACCAACTTTGATCAGGGTGGCAGTCGCTCACAATAATCCAACTGAAAGTTATGGTCTACCGGTCTACCATCATCTCCACTCACCTGAATATCAAGCGTCATCTTAACCACAGCGTGGTTGCGATACCCTCTGGTAAACTAACATAGCTCAGCTATTGAAAATGGCCTTTAATGGTGAGTTTTCCCATGAAAAATGGTGGATCTTTCCACAGCTACGTTAGTTTGGCTACCTCATGTCCGGATGATACCTGTCCAAGGCTCGGATGATATGTGGCAGGGCGATCACAATGCTGTGATCCTGCGGATCCATCACACCTGACAGAAACACGGGTGTTTCCATGGTTTTCCATCCCACTCTGTGCCTTTGCAATGCAGGCAATGGTTGTCTTCCCATGTCAAGAATTCTACATGTTTATGATTGTTTATGTCAGGAGGGGGTTGCGCGTGGCTGATGATGGCATCCCACTGAAACCTGTCCAATCTCAGAAAAAGGAAGCCATCTCAGAGTGAAAGCTATGCGATGGTCAGTTGTCCAAGCCGGGCGGTGTCAGAAAGGAATCAACCCCGACACAGTGCACGCATGACTAAAGACCACATCACATCACTGCGCCTGTGATCGTGAACTCCTTATGGGACTCGATCTGGCACAGGCTCCCAGTCATTACCCTTGAGAATGAAAAACTGGAGTGAAACATAAAACTCCGGAGGCACCCGTGGTTCCATAATTTGTATTTATTTATTCAGCCGTACTCATGTGAAAACTAACGGACATTGCTTGGGACAAGCGTATGACAGGTGGAGTACAGCTCCCAAGACAGAAACTGATAGGACGGACAAACGGGCTTTCTTGGAATATGAAAAGGCCATGTGTGTTGATTTTTTTCACCAAGGTTTTGTGTGTTAATAATACACATGCTGCTAGATCCCCATTTGATCCCCCACGTTCGTTGAATTCATCCGCAACTTGTTGTTTGTGAAATCCCCATCGTTGCAGCTCATTTCATCTAATAATGTCCCCCTATTTTTGCTGAACTTGCCATCTGATCCCCAATGTTTGATTGATCAAATTCCCATATTTATGCTGTCTCCCCGCATTTGCTCACCGCCTCTTCCCAGGACTTCTTGGAGCAATTTGGTGACAACAGGCCACTGCTTTTGCACTTCGCCTCAACTGGAGTTTCCTGGATTTCGGCACGTATCACGCTTGAGTTTAATATGAAATTGATATACTTCACAGATTCGGTAGACGATCACCTCAAGTCAGCATTCGGTTGTAGCTTAAGAGTGCCTTTTCAATTTTCTGGGTTTCCTATGGTTTCCTCAATTTTCTGGGCTCAAAACTTTTGACTCCTTTTTGCCTTCCATCATATGTCCGTTCAGACGCTTCAAAATATTCTCACGGTTTCCCAATCAGAGATTGGATCCAACCACAGCCTCCACTGTCACAACAAGATGCAAAAACTAGGTGGAACTGCACGTGGTCAACGACATAGATGCACACCTTAAAGGTGCAGGATGTTGGCACTGGCACAGGATGTTGACATGATTCGAAGTGACTTGGGTTTGCTGGGTTGGATACTCTGCAAACGAGATTCAACAGAAAGGTCTTGGTTGCTTGAAGCTACCGATGATCTGCTTGCTCATGACTTCTGACTCTAAAAACACATCTCTTCCGAAACCTTCTACAGTTTGACAAAGATTTGTCAGAGGAAAAGAGCAAGGACAAGAACGCCGCGCCGTCCCAGTTTGCCAGGTCACAGAAGCCAGATTACTGGGCACCCTGAGTTGGGATCAGGATCTTCAGGCACCATTCAGAGTCGGGGTATCTGCAGCTGGGTATAGCTTTTCCATGGATTTCCAATTTTTCAGGTCTTTCTCCCATCGCCAGGTCACGTGTATCTCAAGTCCGCCTTGTAGGTCAAGGTCTGATGCAACTTGGCACCAGGGCCAAAGTGAACCATGCAAATATCCATCAAAGCCTGTGCCTCACTGAAAGTCATCACCAGCAAGGGCTGAAATGGAAGACCAACACACCATTAATTAAAGAACAAAACTCTCCTCTCCGCACCATGCAAAGCCATCCTCGTTTAGTTTACCCAATATATAATATATTATAATATACTGTAAACCCAAGTGGGGATAGTTTAGCAATTTCAGTATTAGGTTTACCACTCATTAAACTATTTTTTTCTCCTAGAAAAGTCGAATCGAAAACCACCAGTACTCACCAGTCACCAGCCTCGTACACCGCATATTTCTTGGTGATGGCTGAGCCAATGTAGTGCTCGTAGAAACGTGCTACACCTTGGACCTGCGTTCGCTTGGGGAGGTGAATGATGGCATCCGACAGCGCCAAGGCATTCTTGCATGGGGGCCTCAGTGACCCGATGTCACGATGTAACATCACCAGCCCGTTCAAGGTAACCAAACATATTACCTGTTGGAATAGAGGTATTACCCAATATATCCAACATTAAAAAAAAAAACATCAAACCATATCAAACCTCCAAGTCCAGGGAAGTGCCGCAATGACCTAAACGATTCAAAACATCGACAGGACGGTGTCAAGACACCCGCTGGCGATGCGCCGAATGGCGGGGCCCCAGCCGCTGGGAGCCTCACGTGGACAAAGCTGGCGATTTTATCGCTTCGAGAACGGGACAGTTACCTTCAACTTCAACAACAACAACAACAACAACAACAACAACAACAACAACAACACCAACACCAACAACCAACAACCAACAACCAACAACCAACAACAACCAACAACAACCAACAACAACCAACAACAACCAACAACAACCAACAACAACCAACAACAACCAACAACAACCGACAACAACAACCAACAACAACCAACAGCAACCAACAACAACCAACAACAACCAACAACAACCAACAACAAACAACAACAACAACAACAACAAGAAGAAGAATAAGAAGAACAAGAACAAGAACAAGAACAAGAAGAACAAGAACCAAGAAATATTATTGTGATTGTTATTAGTATTATTGTTATTATTATCATTATCATCATTATGTTTATTGTTATTATTCACAGGCAGAACTCCGAGACGGTTGCCTCACTGGCTTCCACTTTGTTCTTTCTGGCCGCATCGTGCAAGAGCCTCAAGGAATCTCAAGGGTTTGTGCAGCCAAACCTTTTGAACTGATGATCGCTTGGTACTTTGTTTTTGAAGCTGAGAGAAACACATCTCCAAAGATCAAAGGTGCAGCATCTGGCTTCCTCATTTTGAGCACAACCTTCCCAGCACCTGATCACTTGATCACTGCCTCATTTTGCCTCCCAAGGCACGCCGCGTACTCTCCACCGGTGCGAGCTTCGCGCATTTCCTCCACGATTTTGGTGTCCAGCGTACGACCCAGCATGTTGAGCATATCCTCGTAGCGTGGATCTGCAACATGCTGGGACCTTCAAAAGGAGCACTTAGCAAACCAGGGCTGGGAAGGTTCGTGGAAGGTAAGAAGCAAATCAACCACGTTAAACCCTTGTGTAAAAACGGGAAAATGTTGCATGGTGCAGAATGTCCGGCGTTTTAGACAGCTGAACAAACTCCACATCAAAAGATCGCAGATGATCGCGGTCGAGCAGCGGCAACTGCGCGAATGTCCTCAACCCAAACACGGATCCTGAGTCATGAAGCATGGCCATTGGGGGGGTTCAGGAACCCGGAGGGAATCCTGGGAATCAGAACTTCCACGGCAAGTGGCTCTCCGGGCCACGTGGTGGCATTCCCCTCGTGGAAGCGGATTTGCGAAGGGCCCATGTGAGCCCAAAGCCTACAGCCACCAGCTGGATGCCAGGCGGCTGGAATGAGGACAATGTCAATCAACCAGTGGGAATCGTCCAACATGAAAAAATACCACTGGTTGGACGATTTGTTGGACGATTCCCACTGATTTGTTGGACGATTCCCACCAAAAAATACCAAAATTACCAGCTGGTTGGTGATTCCAAGAGTTTCTCCCACCAAAATGACCTTCACGTTGGTTGTCGGGACACCATCCCAAAAATATCTCCGAGCAGCTGCCCAGTGGAGGGATTGTAGGTCTCTCCGCACCCAAGGCCTTCCATCCAAAAGAGCTTGGCATCCTGCCACCAAACCAAGCAAGAATCGGCAGCATTTGAAACATTGAAAATGAAAAAACGAATAGAACAACCATAACAACCATTCAAACTATCAAATCTGCCAAGTGAAAAAGCTACACCATGGCAAACTCTAGTTCTGATGCTCTTTCCAAATTCCCCCGGACCTCCAACTTCGGTACTGCCAGATCAATGTGGCCTGCCGCCATCTCAAGCTGAAACCGGCTCTAACCCAAGGGATCCCAAGAGTTTCTCAAAAGAACACAAATTTGATGGTGTGTTATCATGTTTCCTGTCCAATCAAATCACCATGTTGTGGGCATCCCCATTTTCAGACACGCCCTCCTTGAAAGATCCCAAACATGCACGCCTAGCAATGGCAGAGAGTCTTTGGGTGCAGAGCGCACATGGACATCTGCACTGCCAGTGCCCAGAACCAGCTTGCGGTACCTCGAAGTCAAAGTCATCGAACATGGCTGGGAAATCCCCCATAAATGCCACAAAATCGGCATTCAAATGGGAGAATCATCCAAAGAAAATAGGGGACTTTCCAGGTCTTTCCATGTTTTTCCATTGCCGGAAAAAAACTCTCAGTCAGAACATCCAAGGAGCCAGTCCGGAGCCCGTTCGGGCAAGAGCCAGTACTGCACGCAACTCCTGAGCCCAGCGCTCCGCTCATGCCGGTGGACCCAGTATGTCTCCTGTACCCAGTGGACCCACGAATCGGCTCATGTCTGGAAAACCCTGACCATTTTGGGAGGTGAAATATGACCAGAAATGTTGAATTCCCACTGGAATTTTGGGAGATTAAAATAACAAGTTTGACCACTCCCATAGTGAAGCACTCCCAACGGTTGGCAAAACCAAGGACTTGTTTTTCTATCGAAGCCTCTTGGTGAAAGGATCTCAGTGCAGCCCAAAATACTGATCTGGAGCACACATGTCCTTGGTCGGACATGGATTGGTCAAGAAATCCTGCAGCGTTCATTGATTGCGAAGTGCTTGAGGCACTAGGCTTGGCATTTTGATATGTTCAAAGTTGCTAGAAGCAGTTGTGCCGGTTCAGTTGGTAAGAACCATTGCATCCACAGCAATCTATAACAATATGTATCCATAAAGTGCAGTTTGCGGCCCATTTCTATCCATCCATCCATCCATCCATCCATCCATCCATCCATCTAATCTATCTATAATATATATATACACCTGTGATATCTATATGAATATCTATATCTATATATCTATATCTATATCTATCTATATCTATCTATATATATATATATACACACACCTACATCTATACAGTAATCATATATATATATGGCCATCTACAACACCGAGAGGCATGGCAAATCTTCGCCAGGTGTTTCATCTGCTTCTTGATCTGCTCCATGGCTCCAAAGATGGCCTTCTGAGTGTCTGCGGAGCCAAAAAGCTGCGGAACGCAATGGTTTAACTGTTTGGGATGAAACAATAATATTGTGTGTATATACATATTGTATACATACACATACATACATTATTTATGTGTGTATATATACGTGTATATATGTATATATATATAAGTGCTCAGGTCTCATTTTTCCACACCTGCATTGCTAGTCACACATCGCCACAGCGATCCATCAGTTGTGGATGGCCGTGGGGGGGAGTGGTTCGGGAGTTCTTGAGCGGTTGGAAAGTGTCGACAGTCGTACTTGCAAGTCAAGTGCTCAGGTCTCATTTTTCCACACCTGCATTGCTAGTCACACATCGCCACAGTGATCCATCAGTACCCACTCTACCCAAACTTTCCACCGATTTCGGCCATCCACAAACGTCCCCAGGTTTTTGTAGGCAGCTGTAAATCACTGCACTGCTGCGCCCATCTCAAAACAGCTGGAAAACAAGAGGCTAAGGCTAGCACGTGCTCTCGTTGTTTTGAGCTGAGCTTCATCATATACTGGAGTGCACCAACCTCCTGTATATAAATTTCAGCCGTTTTCGCCGTTGCCCATCGGCCACGGCGACGCACCAGTTCTGCATCTTCGCAGCTATGGAGCAGCCAGGTGGCACCTCCCGCACGCAGGGATCCAGGATCACAAACTTTCGAAGTTCCAGGTAGAACAGAGCCCACGCCAATTCTCTGGAGAACTTGGCGAAACCTAGTTCGAAAAGTCTGGCCAGACATAGGCCACAAAGCATGATCCCATGGTAGATGTCTAAACGCAAGGACAACTACCTCCAGCATGTCGGGTACATCCAATTTGGCACATTGGTGCCTCGCCACAGTGAACCTAGTTTTTGGCTCAGGTATTGAGAGTAATGCAAATCTTTGTGAATACCCAACGTCCGCAGGCAGCATCAAATCACAACGCTTTGCACCCAAAAACTCTCCAGGTCGCAGCAAGGCACCGAAAGAGAGCGCCAATCCACCAGCAAACGAAGTCCACCCCCAACATAGGGAAACTGTCAGCATAGCTAGCAAAAGTTGCCAGGGCATGGCCAAGTGATGAGTAGGCTTCTCATCACGCACCCAAGCGAAAGCAAGGTCCCAAGCGCCTTGCAAGGAGCGTCTTATATGGCAGGTCTAGGTCTGTAAGCAGAGACGGCATTGACAGTCTCTGCGTAGTGGTTGTAGGGTCTGCCCCCAAAGTACAAGCATCTACCGTACCTATTCAGAAGATCGTCAATCTGCTGCAGATGTCTCTGAGGTTCATGGAAAATAGTTAGGGGTTGAACACCAATGGTCTCCAGCCAGTGAAAAAACTGTTGCAGCAACTTTTCTCGATTCTCTGAAGTTACAGGCAGCACAGGCCGACCCGCAGGCAAAGGCGGTCGGCCCCTTCTCCAGGTAGCTCTGCTGATATCTCCAGGGTTACGAGGCACAAATCCAGAAGTCTCCATGGCTAAAACTGAACCGTACCTACCGAGGAAAAAGCAACCTAGCCAGACTCTCGCAAAGGCTTTGTGAGGCAGGAGAAAGAGGAGGAAGGGAATGGAGAAGTGCAAAGCAAAGTCCACAGGACCCTCCCCAGGGTAGCCCAAGGTGGCATCAAAATCCATGCCAAAGTCCAACCCCGGTCGAGCAAAACCAGGCTCGGAAGAGACACTACCCTGAGAGGTGGAAATGGAATATGCAGAGACCCTGTAGGTTGATCTGTCAGGAAAGTCCAAGGCGACAGGACCTAACAGGAGCAGCACAAGACGAGCCCAACCAGAAGCCCACTTCCTCAGCCTCGGCATTTGAGAAAGTCTATATATCTCCTCATCAGACCAGCCATGAAGTCCAAGTCCACTACAAGCTTGGCGAACCGCAACATTCCTGGTAGGATCATCCGAAGCATTTAGTCTTGTAGGGACAAAAGGCAGAGACAGGTAGAGACCAACACAAAGACACAGTGCGCCCAGCTTTCTCAGAACTGCTGTCAAACGGTGGGAAGAAGACCTACCTTTCGAAGCTGAACATCTGGTCACTACGGAATCCACCATGCAAACTGCCCGTAAACTTCTCTTCCGCGAAGCCAAATGAAGCGCCAACTTGTAAACTGACTGAAGCTCAAAAAGGTTTATGTGGTCAGTCTTCCTATGGGGCCAGGATTGGACAACTTCCCACTTTGCAGTCTGCGCAACCTCATTGACAAATTGGCTCTCCAACCCATGGACTTTCAAGTCATCAAGCTGTCTAAACTTCTCTCTCAGTCTGTTCACACCACGCACCAAAACTTCTGCAAGAGCTTCTGCAAGACGAGGTGTATATATGGCAGAACCTAAGGTATACTTCCCTTGTACCAAAACATGCTGGTGGCTTCCATCACAACGCACTGAAAGAGGCTCCAAGTCTGCATGCACACCCAAAAACCGAAAACTCTTCAAATGGATTGAACCAAAAGCGCAAGAGTCGGTCCTGCAAGAACTAGCACTGGGATGTCTCTCAATGCTCTTCCAGCTAGGCATATTCTTCATCTTGGACGTGTAGGGTGTCTCTAAAATGCCAGTGACTTCTTCCACCAGCCCAGCCCACATCATCTGAAAACTGCGGTGCGCAAGAGTATTTCCGTCAGCTGTCTGAGGGTCATCAACTTGAAAGCCAAAAGGAAAATCCACATCACGCAAGGCTGGTCTTCTCATGATGGAAAAGGTTGTGCAAGGAGGCTCCACCATAAAACTCTTCACCCTTTCCTCAGAAACCATGAAGAGGAGCCAGGAGGCAACATGCGTCCATGCTACATTGAACTCATCGGAGCGAGACAAGTCAATAGGGCAGCAAACTTTAAGGCCTCTTGCTGCGACAGCTGCTGTAACTCGGCCAGACCCCGCAAAAACTTCCACGAAGTCAAACTGCAGAGCTAAAGGCCTTTGTGGCGATACCAGATGCCTGTCCGCCTCCTCTGAGACTTCCTCATGAATGCCCAAACGCTGCAAAACCAGTTCTGCAGGGGTCTGCAGCCTAGTATATGCCCCCTTCGTACGGGAACATCTCCAAAGCATCTGAGCAACGCGAGGTTCAACTGCCGCACTGCAAAAAGCGCCTTTCTCCATGGAGGCATCACTGCAGAAAATCTCAGGCATGTACTCTGCATTCAGTTCTGAGCAGGCAAGTGGAGAGAGGACTGCAAGTAGAGTAAGTTCCTCAGCAACCTTCCTAGGTAGTGGCACCAAGACAGGTTTGTTGACGTCGATGGAGTCTGCCTTCACCAGCTTGAAACTATCTTGCAGTATCCCCATGAGGGCTCGTCTATAAACCAAAGCTGAAGTCCACCCACCAAGAAGACACAAGTGCAGGCTATCTGAGGTATGGCTAAGCTGTGCAACATGAAGTGACATCACCGAAAGGCCATATCTTTTCTCGGGCGGCGCCCCAACAGTGCAAACACCCAACTGAGCAGCCTTTTTTGAAGAGTTCAAGTAGGCTCCAACAACTTTGCCCTCATCGACTCCATAGACATCTTTCTGTGGGGAGCCCTCAAGTTTGTAAACATCATAGGCATGCCTAGCAGTCTCCAGCGCACGTAGTGACCTATCCCCAAGCGGGTCTGATTTCCGGTCCTCCACACTGATAGCGAAGAAGTCATCAATGCAGAGACCATGAACATCCATAAGAGAAGGCAAAGGGCGATCAGAGACCATCCTAACGCCAGGTGAGAGCAAGCCAAAATCACGTAGCAAGTTTGCATGAGACTGCGTTGCCAGCTCCACTCCAAGATGATCACCCTGCAAAATTGACTTGAAGGAAACCAGTACTTGGTCATCCAAGCTAGAAAACCGCTGCCGTAGTGATGTACCAAGACCGTCGCCACGAAAAACGCGAGGCTGCTTCTTCTTGAGTTTCTCCCCCAACGCTAGAGTCTTTGCTGCATCCAAATCCCTCACCAAGGAAAAAGGCAAAGCAGGGCCTATGCTGTTTGAAACCGCACGAGCATCTGATGACCAAAACTGGTGGTAAAAATCACGTCTGTCAGTCACCGAAATAGACAGCCGCTGTTGCTTCGGTCGCACATAAAGCTCCAAAAAATCAGGCCCATTCGGAAGAGTCTTCGATGCAGACTGCAGCCTCCCCTCAGTGAAGTTCCTGCCTCGCCGATCACCTATCTGGCGATCCCACACAGAGTCTTTCAGGCAGTTGAAGATCCTCGTAAGCTCATGAGGTGCCTCTTTTTCAAGGTCAGTCTTGTGAAGAAAAAGCAACCCTTTTGCATCCCAAAGTCTGGCAAGTTTGGCAACTTCGCAAGCAGGATCACGCTTTAGGTGAAAGGCACTAAGGTCAACACCAGACAAGTCATACTGCAGAACATCTGGAAACCTATAGGCCATGGAAAGGTCATCATCGAGAAAAGGAGTTGCGTCAAAGTGACCTCTCCCTACCACCTTCAGCCTTGCAACATCCAAGCTTCTGTAAGGCTCCAAACCATCAATGCCAGTATCATCCAACGGGACGTCATGACCTGGAAACATTCGGTCATATGGCCCCCCTGTAGCCCCCAGCTTCGTAAGGACTTCAGAAAGCTCATTGACCCTTGCACTTAATTGAGGAAAACGCCGGCCACTGGAAGCAACATCAAAAACTCCACTAGGGCCGTCTGCCAACATGAGGCACTTCCATCTTGCAAACATGCTGCGGTGCAGAGATGAAGGTACCCTCCCAAGCAAGTCTCCACCAAAAAACTTTCCTCCACTCCACCAAAAATTCAAGGCCATAGCCATGACATGAATGACCTGTCTGACAAGTCGATTCCTCCTGGATGAAGAAGAAGTAGCTCGGGGCATCCTATCAAAAGCACCAGGGAACGGTACTGGGATAGGGAAGATGGCAGATGCAGGCTCAGATCGCCTGGGCAGGTGAAATGTGGATCTGAGGAATGCAGCAAAAGAAGTACGAGTCCGGAGGACCCATCTGACAAGGCAAGAGGACCACTTCCAAAAGGAACAGCTCGTTGGCAAAGGAGGAGGTCCATCAGCACATGAATTCAACCTATCATCATCAACCAGCGCATCCACTTCAAAATAGATACGGCCAACTCCAGGTGTCATGCAAGGTTTGGGCATAGCAGAGGGCCCACTGTCCAAAAATTGCTCTGTACCCGCACCAGTATTCAGGCAGCTTCTTCGGCTGCCTTCACCTTCTTCGGATAGCGCGTCTTCCTCTTGGGAGAAGCCATCTCCCCAGCCCCAGGCGCTGCTGTCTGATTTGCATTCGCTTTTGGCTTCGACGCCACTTCTGATTTCTTCGATGTCAGGGTCTCCATGTCTTTGAGATAGGCCAATGTGGTTGCCGCCCAAGAGGCAGGGCACAACGGCGCGAACGGCCGGCCATGTGGAGACATGGAAACCATCCGATCCTGGAACATCTGAACAGGAGGCTCTGCCACCAGGGAAAGGAGGAAGGCCAGGGACCAGTCCCCCTGGTCTATTGCTGACTGCTCCAGGGACACAACAGTGAGGGCAACCAACTCTCTCACCCCAGCCCAGTCCTCCGCATTGATTGCATCTACAACATGCCCCATCAACCAAAGTACAAGGCCTGTCTCTCTCTGATGACGGAACCCACCTTGTCGCTCCAGATACTGCAGCATAGAAAGGCTTTGCAACTCGCTCAGGTTCTGAGGGACAGGCTTCCCTGGGTGCAGACGTCGATGCATCTGCTGCATCAGCTGTAGGTAGAAATTCCCACTGCGGGCTGCCAAATCGCTTTGCATCTTCTCCCTCCGTAAGACCCCACGTGTGCCAGATGTCTGGGAAGAGGAGCTGCTCAAGTTCAAGTCTGACATGCCGTCGGCAGTATGGGCGGCCAAGTGAGCGACCAGTGAAGTCAAAGCCGTACTTTGTTCCACCAAGGCAGCCTCCAAGCTGGAACCACCATGCCCTCCTCTGTCTCCTGCTACAGGACTTTGGCCTTGCTCCTGTTCCACAAGGCCTCTCGCAGATGCTTTTGCCTCCTTGTGTCGAGGAGGAGGTCCCGCCAAAGAGACGGCCTTCTGAACATAACTCATGCCCAGAGGCAGAGCCGCTGCAGGCTCCAGACCTGCAGAGACCGCAGGCAAAGCTCGGGCGGAGACAGCCTGCTGCCCTGATACATCGTTTGCAGTATACCCCCTTGACTGGCTTTCCAACTGATCCTGCCGAGCCATGAGGACTTGCATCTGATTGACAAGGACATCGATCTTTTCCATGACGGCAGCTTGCGTAACACGCTTTGGAGCAGCAGCCTTTTTTGTGTCCGCAACCGGAGCACCAGGCACCTTTGGAGGACTCAGGTCTTCTTGAGCTGAGTAAAAAAGGCTACCTCCAAAGGCCAAAGTTCTCATCCATTCTTGCACTCGTGACAGGAAAACATCACCATGAGGAAAGGTATGGGGAGAAGTCACATGGAAAGGTCTGATAGGCTCAGTGGAGTCAGTCACAGGGTCATATTCTCTGATCTGTTGAAGAAGAGCGTCAGCTGCATCAAAAACCTGCACCACGCCCTCAAGACCAATGGCCACCAAGCCTTCATCGGTATCCTCGTAGAGCGAAGCGTTGAAGGTGTCACCGGGCCCAATCAACGACTCACCTGTTTGATGCCCCTCATCAGCTGCAAAAAGGCCTGGAGAAATCATGCCATCAGGCAGCCAGCAAAAGTCCACCACGTCGGGCAAATAGAGGAACTGCAAAAATCTGACACGCCTCTCCGCTGGCTGAGAGGTCATTTGGCAAGTCCAACACTAGCAACGAGGGGTCACCCTCGTGGCTGAACCTGATCCGCTGCTTCTGCATTTGTAAAGAGCTGGAACGCTGATGCCCGCTCCGCAACAGAACGCTTGCACCTCCGCAAGGGAGGGGAAACCGTAGTGCAAAGCTCTTGGATCACCACCAACAAACTGATCTCTCTCCTCGATCTTCAGGACGCGCACTGGCTGATCAAGCCCAACAGCACGCAGGACAAGGAATTGAGTGTCCCTCAAAGGAATAGGTTCTGGCCCAGAGAGAGCAACTTCACAAAGCAAAGAGATCTTGGCCCAAAACCCTGCTGTGAACGCCCTGCGGATGCGGAACTGGCCGTCCGTCTTTGAAGAGATCAATTTCTTTCCCAACTCAAGTAAGGAAGCAGGTGTATCAGGAGGCCCACTCTCAACCTCAAAGTTCCTGACTGCACCGTACCCAGGCCCTTGGTAGTCAGCTTCGACCAACTCCCAATCTTCCAGTCCTCCAACCACGCCAAGCCCTGATCCTCTCACTGCCAAGGTAAGACGTTCCAAGCTAGATATCAACTGAAGGACGTCTTGCCTGGTAACCGGTTCACTCATGCAAGTAGGCCTGGATCCTCCTCCGAGCCCTGATCATGTCAGATTCCTCAAAGGTAGGTGGAGGGGATGAAGCGGTGGAAGGCCAAGTCCAAGGCCGAGACGCAGAAGTCCAATGGAAAGCAAGGGAGAGGAAAAGTCCAAGTCCAAGCAGAAATCCAATGGAAATGCCAGCGACGAGCCAAGGAAGACGGGAAGCAGAGCAATGCAAGGGACAGGATAGCCAATGCGAGAGCTGACCAAGAGCTGACAGGCCCTCAAACAGTCTATGAGTCCACATCTAGTTCTTGAGCGGTTGGAAAGTGTCGACAGTCGTACTTGCAAGTCATACACCATGTAGTTTTGAAGATAGGAGTCTGGTGATTCTACATATCTCACTGCTGTAAAAACATCTTCAAGGCAGCACTCTGAGTTTCTGGTCATTCACCAGGCTGAGATGTTCACCTTCGATGAGACCTTCACGCCTGCGCTCCTGGTTCAAAACATCGCGAAGCATTGCAACTTAATGTGACCTACTGTGCCTGGGGGGCAGGGCAGGTGACCCCACTTTAGGTTGAGCCCTAGAGGCCCTAGACGTGTGGATGATGTGCAATGAAATGGCCAAGTGCATTGGGTACTTGAAAGTTGAAAGATCTCCAAAGTTCATTCCTTGACGAATAAATCAAATAAATCGAATGCTTCAGGACTTCAGGATTAGGACCAGAAATGGCAACTGCCGGCCATGGAATCACCCCTCGCGTCCCAGCAAATGAAGTCCTTGATCCACTCCAGAAACTTCCTGGGCGATTGGCGAAAGGTTGATGGACCACGGGTTGGCCGCCCGGCCGTGACCCTTTGTGCATCTCCAAGGCGCTCTAAGCCAGGACGTACCGCCACACCACATTCATACCTTGGCCGAGGACCATGGTCCTGACTTGTGGAAAATCGCCAGAGATTGGTCGGATAGGTAGATACTTTTTGTTGCTCTACCCGTTGGAATGGCAACAATGTACTACTTGGACACAGAACTACCCGTACCTGATTCCAACTCTAGGCAAACGCAAAAAAAAGAATGTTCGCAACATCAAACTCAAATTGCGGTCCCACCTGTTCTTTCAGTTGAATATAGTCAGGAATATTGCAGCATCAATCTGATCCGCCTCCCATTTCAGCCGTTGCTGGGGTCCCCCTCGTGGTCGCTTTGGGCAATGTCCCGACATCAATCGGCACCCGGAAGTCAACTGCAAGGCATGGACGCCACAAAAAAAGCCAGTTGGGCCACATCTCAGTCCGGGACTGGTGACATGTCGAGAGATTCTGAGGAAAGCGACAGGACAAGTGAAAAGTTCACCCCGCGCCTACTCGCAAATTGCGGTTGTGGTGCACCCCTTTGCAACACACCCTCACCTAGGCTGTTGTTCATGGATATTGATCGCCAAAAATCATGCTTTAAGATGCCAAAACCATCAACCAATTAGACTCCTATGCAGCCAAAATTGTTGATGGTTAGATCCCCCCCTAAATCCTGGTATTTCCACCATATTTTCGAAGTGTGAAGTTTTTAACCCCTCCAAATCATGGGTTTTTCATAGGATTTATCCCCAAAAATCATCGTTTTTCTGAAAATTTCACCCATCCGAATCTCAAAGATCCTGGACTTCAAAACCCCCATGACTCCGCACCAGGGTTTCATCCAAATCGAGGACCAGCCTCAGAGCAAGTGCCCCTTGTGGAAGCTGAAAAACTGCAGAATCCCTCGGCAATGATGATCATAATTCATAATACAAAAATGCATGTAGATAGGTAGGTAGGTATATAGGCAGGTTGATTGCTTGCTTGATAGATTAGATTAAGATTAAGATCAACATTAAGATCAGATAGGATAAGATGGATAAGATGGATAAGTCAGATAAGATAGATAAGATGGATGAGATGGATAAATCAGACAAGATAAAATAAGAAAAATAAGATAAGATAGATAAGATGCGATAACATGAGATAGCATGAGATAGCATGATATAACATGAGATAAAAGCAGATAAGATCAGATAAGGTCAGATAAGATCAGATAAGATCAGATAAATAGATAAGATAAGATGAGATAAATAGATAAGATGAGATGAGGTGAGAAGAGATGAGGTGAGATGAGATGCGATGAGATTAGAATAGAAAAGGACAAGATTAGAATAGAAGAGCATAGGATTAGGATAGTGTCATATTAGATTAGATCAAATCAGATTGGACTAGATTAGATTTGACTAGATTGAGATTAGCTTAAACAAGATTGAGATTAGATCTAGAACGCCGCTTTTATGCAAATATCTATATTTTTATATTGGTTTGAGTGTATGTCTCCCTCTCTCTCCCTCCCTCTACATGTACACTTACTTGCATGGATTTGTTTCTTTGCATCAATTCATTGTTCTTAAGAAAAAGATGCTCATTATTGATTTACTCGTTCACTATTCATTGATCTACTAGTTCACTATTAAATTGAATTATGTATCTACCTAATCTAACCCAATGTAATCTAGTCTAAGTCCTAATCTACTGCTCTAAATCTAATCTTACAATCTAATTATTGAGCAGAGTTCTATGTGGACCACTGGTTTTTGGGGCTCCAAACAGCAAAGGCAGCCGCGACGCAAAATGTCGGTGGAACCTCGCCCCTGGAAATAGGGACGCTTTTTGCAAATGGACCTTTGTTTATACCCCTAGGGCCTAGGGGTATCAGGTTCAATGGGGCTATAAATTATCTATGATTCTCCATGATGATTCTCCATGATTTCTAAAATCCACCAGTTGATTCTCCAGAAAAAGCATCAAGAAGCCCACATCGCAGCCGCCTGGTCTAAGTGACTGGGATGCAGCCCACATGGACCCTTTGTGCCGGGGAGTAAAACCTATCGTACCATGGCTGGATGGGGGTGAACATCCGTAGCTACCAGCAACGCCAGTAGGGCAGCGGTTTGACCCCTTACCCACTCATAAATATGATCAACCGTTCGAAATAGGGGCAGCAACTAGCTTTTTTGGTCATGTTCGCGAAAAATGAGAGAGAGAGAGAGAGGGAGAGGACCTCATTTGCAAGGTAGGCATGTTCATTGTTCAAGCACCTACGCCCATGTTTTTTTGAAGTCACAAGCAATGGATAGTCGGCACTTTGTCCTGACCTCAAAGCCCAAATTCATCAAGGCATGGAGTTGTTTTCGGGGAGCATGGGCAAAACATCAAATATGGGGATGTGCAAAAGATTGCAAAACGAAAGCATCTACCAGGAGTCTTGCCGCTCGTAGCTATTCCATGTTCTTCCCATGGTCAAATGGACCAAATCTTGCGTACGCTCAGGCACAGCACGCTGCAAGAATTTCTCCGTTTTGACCAAGGTACTGTGGCTCCACACAGCGTGGCCCACCGTGTCATGCGCTGTCCTGGCTCAGCACCAGCAACGCAACGCCAACAAGGAGCTTCAAATGTAGATTTGCTGTTCCCTGCCCCATGTGCCATGCAGGCTTGGCTGTGAAAACAGACTTCGCATCATTGGCATCAACTAAGTATGCTTCATTTTGACTGCTAAAGGCCAAAGAGTTGGGAAATATCAATTTACCAGAGCGTTTTCACGACCCAAACAACGCGAATTGCCAGTCAGCACTGCAAGAATGAGAAGCTTCATGGGTGAACATTGAAAGAACACAGAAGGGCATCCCAGGAAATTCTGTTCTCAAGAGTGTCAATTTGTTGAATAATTCTCTATAATATGATTATGGGACATTATGATGATGGGATCATTCAAGTTCAACAGGAGAATTCAGGACAATTCTAAAGGCTGAAGCAATTATCTTGAAGTGCCAGCGGCCATGCAATGCACAGGCAAAACCGGAAAATGAGCCTGCTGCCATGCCATTCCATTGCACTGGGCAGTCCACATTTCTAAACCCCAGAGCTATTTGATGAACGCTCGAAAACAGAACTGTGCCAAAGCTTGAATTTGTCATCCATGTCCATGCCCATGCAGTGGAATTTATGATGAACATGCCCAATGCTGGCTTCAAAAGATCCCGCTGGCCAGCCCATGCATCTGCGCACGTTTCAGTGACGACTGCGCTTCATTCTTCCCATCTTGAGACATGGGGCTTCCAGTAGGATCTCCGCCCAGGGCTCGTCGACTCATGTCAACTTGGAATAGGTACAGATTCAAAAGATCACATCCGGGGCGCTTTAAAAGTTCTCGGCCCCAAACTCTGCCCTTCGCTCTACCGGGTTCATGGCACCTCCCCTTCATCCTTCTGATCAAATGATTGGTTTGGGAAGGAGGACTTGAAGCACCAGGAGCGAATAACATCATTGGAAAACACCGGGCAATTATTCAATTTCTGGCCTGTCCATGACAGATCGTATATTATGGAATCTGTGTATAGTTAAACTGCTATATAAGAGCCTAGATTTTTATATCAAACGGTGTGGGGCCAACCGGTAACAAACACATGGGCACGTCTACGATCCAGCGAGGAGTTTGCAGGAGCAAGCTGACATCTACTGCCAAGAGGGGAACGCCTGGGATCCCTGCAGATTCTACGCCTATGCACTGTTAATGTTGAACATGTGAGACAAAGAAAAGCAAAGTGCAAGTCAATCTGCAAGTTTGTAAAACTTGGGTGCCCCAGGAAATGTTCCAGTATCAAACGAGAGATGTAAGATCTTGCGGCCTTTGCGTTGATCTTGAATCTTGGCCCTTTTTACCCGGGGACCGCGAAAAACCCAACTCTGCCTGTTGGAAGCGTCAGTTGTGTCCCCCAAAAAAGGGTGACCTTTGGAAGACCTGCCGCTTACCTGGCGAGGGCGAGCGCCGGCTTGGGGGTGCCCTGTTGCCCCATCAAACAGACGTCTGAGGATGTCAGGATCCAAAAAAGCGGGGAATACCTCAACATCCTTAACCGTTCTGCAACTACATATGGGTATGGATCAAAAAATCAGACCGCAAATGCTTGGGGAGAGTCAACCACCCTTTCTGGTGGTCATCCCAAGAAGTTGGCCGACAAAAAACAAGAACCCCCTTTCTGCCTCGGTATTTTAGTACAGTGATCATGGCCAATCTTAGATAGTCTGCACATGTTTTGAGCTGTTTAGTTCTTTTTTCATCAAGAAATTGAAGAAAAAAACAACTATCATTAGCCATTATAACCCCGGAATCGGGGTACAAAAAAAATATATGTTGAAAAACCTTCATCCTAGAGACTTCGGATGTTATAAAACTATCAATTGAAGTTATAGTACATATTCCCAGTTGTGGCAAAAGATTGAAGTATTGAACTGCCCTGCGCCCGTGGGTTTACCCGATCCGCCTTGCATAGAGTTCCTCTTCTACGGAACCCACGGCAAAAAGGCGATGTACCTTGGAAGATGGGGCTGAACCAGGGACAATTGTTGATGTTTTATGGCCGTAGAAATAGTTGACCTTCCCATTAATAGCATGGTGATTTGCCATAGTTAAACGGGACAGTTCACCAGAGAACTAGAACAATAACTAGGAGCCAAAATATACAAGAGTGATTCGTCCTACATGGCGGGTTGACTATGGGTTCACTGGCTAGCTTGTTAACCCAAAAGCCAGGAAGTGGAAAGTTATGACCAAAGGGGATCATGGAGGCATCATCAATGGAGGTTTCACCAAGAAACTTGGGGGAAGATGGAGATTGAACCACCAGCTTGGGGATGTGACAAGATACTGGTAGATGGAACCATAAGTACCAAGTAAGTGGTAGTGACTACGTGTACCAAAAGACATAACCATCTTTGGCTGTTTGGGCCTCTGCCACAGCTGAACAAAGTGTTGAACCCCCACTGAGCCCCCCCACATGCACCGTTTTTTTCTGTGGGTATCGACGTACCTGGTGGGTCATAAAACTAGGGATCTTGCTCGTCCTCCTCGTCCATTTGCCAACATCCCATCTGCCCAGAAACCTTACTATCCCCGGTTGGTTGTTTCATATGAAAGCATCGTCATCATCCAGAGGTCAGAAACTCAAACATCGTCGAACCCTCCAACAAGTTCACTGGCTCATAGACTATCAATAGAGATATAGACAGATATAGATTTAGATACAGATATTGATATTGATTCGATTTAGATTCGATTTGGTCAGATGGGTTTGTCTGAAAATAGTGTACCCCATTTACCCAATGGTTTTGCTGATCATTATCCCTACTTTTTATGGCTATTTCATTGGGGGTATACCCCAGGCCATTCGATTCCATCGCAGCTGGGCCACACGGCCAATGGCCTGGGCCTCAAAGGCCAACATCTGCAGCCGCGAGATGGATTCCTGGTCGAAAATGCGTCGTTTAAACAACGGGAAAATGCGTCGAAAATACATCGAAAATGGATGGAGAATGGAAAATATGTGCTGTATGATGTGTAAATATGTATGTATATAGAATACTCCAAAGCATGATAGGATTGGTTGGGGAATAGAAAATTACCAACAATTCCCATCTGGTTGGTTTCCAAATGGCTTCTGTAGGTTAACACATATCTGTTCAGGATTCCAAAATTGCTAAAGATTCTGCAGAAACTGAGAAAAATCATTAAAAATCCATAGGTATCTGTCCAGAAAACTCAAAGTCTCTGAATGAGGTTTAAAAAGGATGGTACATTGAATATTCTTCGCTTTACAGCCTAATCTCCAGCTTCCCTTGATGTGTTTCGTATCCTGGTGGCTATGGTCACGGCCCAAAGGCACCACGCTTTGATGTAATGTGGTAAACCTTAGTAAACCATACCAATTTTAACAGAAATGGGTGGTATCAATAGCATAAGCCATCTAAACTTGGAGGTTTTTTTATTACCCTCTGGTAATTTAACATAGCTATGGAAAATCACCATGTTTAATGGGAAAATCCACTATGAATGGCCATTTTTAATAGCTATTTTGACATAACCAGAGGGTAGGTCAGGCACACCTTTTTCCAATGTCATCCCAAACCATCTTCCCAGCGCAGTCCGTCCCCACCTGGCTTGTCGCCGTCGGCGTACAGTAGGGGTGCACGATGACCACGTGCCGGGCCATCTGGGACAAAGGACAAACCAGGACGCCAGTGAAATTCTGGAGGTTTCCCACCTGTGTGGCTTGTCTATCTAAAATGATCTGGGTGTGTCTGAAAATAGTGTACCCCTAAACCCAATGGTTAATGATCATTATCCCTATTAAATGGCTATAATTGGGAATATACCCTATTTTCAGACAAACCCATCTATTGGAAAGAAGATGTAGAATCCAGATCGTCACAAAGTGTGTTTTTCTCTGCACGGTCATTGGCAAATGCTGCGGTGCCTGCAGATTGATACCAGAGGAGTGGCGCTGGCTCGACAGCAGCAACACCTCCAGTGTTAGAAAAGGCTGAAGTCTTCACCATTTCTGCCATGTCCAGCAAATCCACATGTTGGCTTCAGATGGCTTCAGATGGCTTCAGCTGCGATTATGGCTGAAAATACTTTGCTTCTGGACTTCTGGAGATTTCGAGCATTTCTGTATGCCCTGGCAGCCTGGCACATTTCTTATCTTTAAACTCTATCTGAAGCCCTCCGACTCTACAAATCCATTCCATCCCACATCTACACTTAACTTCCACATCTTCCACCATGATTCCACCGTTCCACCAAGTCAACTGGCCAGCTTTCCGAATATCCCAAGCCACTCCCCAGCTTTCCGAATTTCGTTGCCATCTTGGCACCCGGGGTTCGCCATGGCATCCGAAGCGGCTCAGAACGTCCATCGTCTCCCGCAGCTCGCCCACCAAGGCCAGGGACAAAATGCCCTGCTGCTGCAAGACGTCTTGGAGGTAGACCTGACCAATTGGACCAACTAAGGGCAGATATATATATATATATAGAGATATATATATATCAGATATGGCTCGAAAATGGATTGGGAAATGGATTGGAAATGGATTGAAAAGTGGGAAGCTTCAAGTGATTTCAAACTTAAGTTTCACTTTTTATCTGCAAAACACCAAACATATGAAAGGCAGTGGTTAAAAATCGAGAACGTGTGAAACCACCAACACGGCATTCAAATCTGGTACACTGCTCTTTGACATTGCTGCACTGCTGCCTTCGGTGGATTTTGCAAGTCCACACTTGGTTTGCCCAATCTCCCTCAGTTTTTGTTGAATATCCCATATTCTCAATGCTTCATCAGATGAATCTCCCACATATCGGATATATATTTGATGGGTTTGTCCCACAAGAACTGATGGCCACCGGGGCTAAGAAACAGGCCACATGGGTAGCCCATTGAGTGTAGACCAGGATACGCTCCTGCCGTGCCATGACCCATTGTGACCCCTGCTCTCGCTGGCGCGACGCCGCAATGCGTCGGTCCTCAGGACCCGAAGCCAACAGCTCTTGGAGCAAGGACAGTAGACGTTGGAGCTTGGAGGGCAACACCTGACACAGTTGAAACATATTGAAACATGTTGAAACATGTTGAAGCATGTTGAAACATGTTGAAGCAGCTTAAGGTGACTGGTTGATGGCTTGCAAGTTGCTAAAGATCAAGGATCCGCTCCATTTCAAAATTCAAAATCATCAGTCACTCCCTTTCTGATGAACACAACACACACCCACTGTGCTCACAGGTCTGAGCCACCTCCCGCTGTTGTAATGAAGCCACATAAGAAGCCTCCAGCAATAACCGCTGCATGGTCTGTCTTGATGCGAGTATGGCTCAGCAATTGTGGGCAGCAATGGATCCGCAAGAGGTCCCTTTGTTCAAATATGTTTAGATACTTCAACCGTTTAAACCGAACATTTTGTGCCATACATCATTGATTTTGGTCATCAACTGAGCCAGTCCCAAATTGGTCAATGTTGAGCTATCGCCATGGGATATGTGCCCACCTCTCCAGCGGCGCGACTGGGTGGCGATCTGGAGCGATCTTCAGATTCCTGCAGACAGGCGCAACTGAAGTTGCAACTCTAGCCGTTGAAAAGAAATGTCCCAGGCAAGCCAAAGAGCAGAAGTGCTCCAAGTTCTATCATAATCCAAAGTTAACTTCAGAACGATGCGCTCTTTGAGATGATGTGTTTGCTGTATTTTGCTGTCTGGTATTGCATGACTGTGATGTAGTGCATGCTTTTGCTCTGGATGCAATTTTTTCTGAGAGCCACCGATGGCTTTCCGTGTATTTTGCATGAAGCGCGTGCTTTGCCCTCTTCCTTTGTCCAGCGTTCCTGATGTCTTTAGACTGCAGAGCTTGCTGAACATAAAGTCAGATAGATTGGCAAAAGTGTCATGACAGTCCGTCCTGTTTTTTTGTTCATAAGGCAAAAAAATGCATCAAGTGCGTTGGTGATTTGCACCACTTACTTTCCATTTCTTACCATTTACCTACCATTTACTAGACGTCCACTTCCTGACCCGTGGATGACTACAGAGAAGCAAATTGAAGCCAGTCTTGCCGAAGTGTGTCTGCTTGTCATTGCACAGCTTGTCAAGTTTCTGCGAAATCTCGTGATATTATAAGTTTCTACAGTACTGTATTGCTAAAAGTCTACAAGAAGACAAAAGACACAAATAATCCAAAATGCGGGCTGCCAAGGTTTCAACTTCTTCCACAACCTTGCACTTGCCTAAGGATGGTTTGTGTGAGCACAAACAATGCTTCAAGCTCACTGGTCGGGCCCCACGTCACCTCCGTTTTGATGGCTTCAATCCCAGGAGATTTGAACACCACCACGTCCAGACCTGGGTCGCGGCTCAGCCGCTCCACTTGTTTCATGATTTCATGGCTAGTCAGCCTCCAAACACAGCAGCATCGTGTGGGAAACAAGTGAGGCCAGGAAAACAAGTGAGACAAGTCACCAAAATTCATGCCCTACCAAAGTACTCCAAAGTGATGGAGCCGACAGGCAGTAGCACCCAGAATATCCCAGAACGAAATCCTGGTTTCAATGAGATCCCAGGTTGGCCCAATCTTGGATCCCAGCGGAAGACAGATGTACGGCACATGGGGCCTTGGACTAAGCAAAACTGCTGTCATGGATAGTTAACAATGCTGTTGTCGTTGGAGGATTAGATCAACTGTACAGCGGCCGAATTGCAGCATCTGCAGTATAGTTGATCTCAATTCATGAGCAACCACTGCCAAGAATCTCTTTAAGAAGTGATACAGCGAATGAATTGCTCAGTTCCACACATCCGAAAGTTGGCTCCATCCCGGCCTGCAGGATTGGAAGAGCTGCAGCGAATCACCCACTGATCCCATGATAGATATGATAGTTGTTGATTGTCCATCCCCAATAGAAGTGGCTAAGAAAACTCGTCCAAAATCACCTGTCTAGCATCAAGCAGCATGCCACTGTCCAGCCAGTTGCTCAAGTTCAACAGCCCAGAAGACTGCTTGAATATAGTTCCAACCCGATGAAATACATGTGGCTAGAAAATGCTAGAAACTGTTCCAGTATTTTATGGGGTTGAAATTTCAACGAGGTTCCTCAACAGAGCTGATCTTTTTTAGGAAATAAACTGGAACAGTCACAGCTGAGCAGCCACAAGCCACCTGTTGCTCTAGACAACCCCGGCACAGGATGTGAAAGCCTCAGTGCTCCAAAGTTAAAAACTCAGCAGCAGAAGGATCCAGTGTCAGGGAACTGTTTTCTTTCAAAGCAAACAAGCAGCAGAGTTTGACCGGTCCCAAGCCTCAGCAGAACAAATACGTATCACTCACAGAGTACCCTGGGCGCTTTCTTTCACTGCGCCCCCTGGGGACCCTAGCAGTCGGGAAGCACAGCAAAGGCTTCCGCCTCCTTCCCAGTTGCGAAACAGACCGGGCAGTGTGCTTCGTTCCTGGTCAGGGCAGCGGCTCTCAAGACACAATCAGAACATGGCACAAGGATAGTCAAGGTTGCACCAGCAATGGAGTTTCTTAGTTTTCCAAACCAGTCACAAACCATTTCAAGTACAGTATACCTTCAATCATTCAATCCTACACAGATCACACAGTGTGCTCAGCACACCTCTCCAACAGGTGCCGCATCTGTCGAGCGAAACGCAGAGAACGCTCGCAGCGCTCGCGCTCCCCACGGAGAGCCTCTAGAGTGGCAGGTCATGTCTAGGAAGGTGTGGTATATCGCGGTATCACAACTACTTATTCGTTGTTCGTAGGTCCGACACCCAATGATGGAATCACCATTCAAGAACGGCCTTATGGGTCAAGTTGTCTCGTTCATTTCGTGAATGTCAGGAACGTCTGCAAGCAGCCAATTGCTGAATCTCTGAAAGGCTTGGAAGACGGGTCGTGTTTGGAACACGACTCATGGTGAAAACATCCTAAGATATCCTAAGGGTTCAGTTCTCTCTCTCTCTCTCTCTCGCTCTCTCGCTCTCTCTCTCTCTCTCTCTTTCCCTCTCTCCCTCGCTTTTCATAGGGAAAGAAAGCACAAAAGGAAACAAGGGAGGAAGGGGATGAAGAACAGAGAGAAGAGGAAAGGGAAAAAAAACATAGGAGACTAGAGAGTTTTATTTCGCAACATATCCATTTCCAGAAAAGGCTGAAGGACCTTACTCGACGTGTACAGTGGGGTTGCCCGTGAACTGTAACCTTCATTTGTTTCCTCATCTCCTGCCTAGCCTCAGGTCAAAAAAATGAATTCGTGTTCTCAACCCTCTAAAGCCTGTCCTCCGAAACGTAACTTTGAACCTCAAGACACAGAGGATCTCCCCTTGTTCCAAGCCCCAGTCTTTCAGCCGTTTCGAGTTTCAAATGCTGATGGTAAGAGAATACAAGATTCATGTTCGCATCCGCGAGCGGTCCGAGTCCATTTATCCACCTTTATCCATCTACCCAAGTTCATCCAACCCAGTGATCTGCAAACCTGTCAACAGATTTCAATTGTCAGTGCGATTTCACATCTTCCCACCCCTCTCCTTCAGCTGGCGGTGAAGAGTCGTGTCCACCGCGTCGTTGGCAATGAAAGCCTTAGGGCGCTTTGTTCTGCTGAATGACCATCCAAGTCAGGCTTCCCCCGATGTCATCCACTGCAAACAATCTCATCACTGATCATGAAGGAAAACAGTCCAACTGGAAGCATTCAGAAATGCCCTGCGACGCTCCACCTTTTCAACCAGGCCAATGGGTGGCACGAGCGCACAGCAGGAACCTTTGGCCTCTCATGGAACGCAGAGATGGGCTTCCACGACTTTCCAGTCTTTCTTCGTTTCCCAAGGAAACTGGGCAGGATCCTCGCACCTCAAATAGCCTGCCATGTCTTCATTCAGGCAGCCAATCTTCCAGCAGTTGTACTGGGGGCTCCAAAAAATGTGGGTGTCAGAGCAAATCAGATCCTTCTTGCTGCCTATCTGCTCCTCCTTGAGAAATACCCTTTGGTAGCACTGCTTCTCGCAAAAGTCGTCAGGCCGGCAATACCATAAACTGCACATCCTTTCCACAATTTTCTGACTCGGAATAGGTTCCTTCGACTGATTCGAATTTGTCAAGGTCGTCAGAAGAAATGTTGGATCCTCAAACCCACGCTCGCGCAATTGCTCTTGAATCTCCTAACTCGTTGCCGAGAAGAAAAGGAACCAAAAGCTTTGCTTGTCAAAGTGACTTTCATAAAAACTTACATCATCCAATGTGTACTCACCGCAATGTTCCGTTTCAAAATCAAAACCACTGAATTTTAGAGTTAAGACTTTTGCAATTTCAACACATCTAAATGATACAACACTGAAGTACAGTAGACGAACTTGGTCATTGTCCTGGAGGTCGGCAAAGGCTTCCATTCCAAAAGTTTTCTCTTCCTCCTGACTCAAAGGAAGCTTCAAGACTCTGAAAGTCTTCACCTGGAAAGGCGAAATCAGAGCATGAGAATCGTAAGATTTGATGCTGTTGAATTCAAAACCTATGAAGAGTCAGCAATGTACGAGTATAACTATAACAATATAACATGATTGAACCTGGCCAGTTTCCCAACTGGAATAGCAGCTTCAAACTTGGATAAGAAGCAAATCTACCTGATTTTAAACAACTATGAGGAGAGTACCAAAGATTCCCACCATATGGAAGAACTGCTTGAAATAACTCGTGAAGGATTATCTTCGACATCTCCGAAAACAACGATGGTTCCATTTGGGGGTCATTTGTTTTGGCTAGCGGCTTGCCTCCAAGTAGTCATCTGCCTTCGCAAACTTGTATTGGCGGCCAGCCCGCTCATGCTTTCTACTTTTTTTTCGTTTCTTGGTCATTCCATCCCGTTTCTTGGTTCCATCCCCCCACCTTTCTTCGGCAAACTTTGATGTACCAAAAAGGGTCAACTTTTTGCCCGTCGCCAGATATTCTGGCACATCAGCTTTCTGGTAGCAAAATCCTGCTTCCTCAACTGTGGCGGCAGCTGAAATAAGTTCGGGTGCTATCCAAGCCCAACAGTTGGAAATCCAAGTTGCACTTTTTGGACACGAATACTGGTTACACGGAGGTTGCAAGCTACCCAGACAGGTTGGAGCGAACAAGGACAGGCTACATGCTGAACTAAGATTTGAGAACGCCCACAAAATTGATGCCCGTGCTTTGCGCATAAAACAATCAAATGGTTGTATCCTTTTCTTCGGCACCCTGTCCTGCTTGGGAGGCACATAGATCTTGTGGAGGCCACCAGGCTTCTGACGAAAACCAATACGCCAATTGCGGGGTAGCCAGTCTCCATCGGGCCAAAGTAGAGACAAATCGTCATCTGTCACGTACTTTTTCTTCGTGGCTCCATCGTCTTCTTCCTTCTCCTCTTTGGGAGGCCTCTCCTCGAGCTCGTATCCTGAGAAAAAACGTGGAAAAGATGAATCGCCCAAGTGGGGTCACATGGAAAAGGGTGCCCAACGACCAGAACGGTTCAAGCAGGGCAAAAAACAAAACCAATTTGAGAAGAAAGACGAGGCAAGCGTCATTGACTTGACTTATTGGTCAAAAACAATGTGCACAGAAACTGGAAAAATTGGCGCTTACAGCCCATGCTCTCAAACAGGTGAGCGTCCTAGAAACTTCTCAATGGCGCTCTTATGCCAGAACCGCCTGTTCTCCTCATTGAAGTAGCATGTCAGCACTTTGCCACTCGATTCTTGTGTCCGCTTTGCTTGCTTCCACCCCTCTGGCAGCCAATAAACCCACCTTCCAGGGTCAATCTTGGTGTCTGATGGCCATTCTTTGGGCGTCTTCAAGTGCGCGTTCGGCAGAGCTCCGGCCTTCCTCGAGGATGGCTCCCTCATTTTCTGTTGGATCTCGTCGTACGTCCACAGCCTGCTAAAAAGCGGACTGCCAGCCTGGCAAACGATTTATCCATGTCCAGATCATGTCCACGCTACTTTAGCAAATGCCCACTCACAGAATCCATCCAAATCCCGCAGCTGCCTTCCAACAACCACCTTCCAAAACTGCCAAGAAATTTTAAAGATGCAGCCCTTAAGGCTTTCCCCTCCTGCCTTCTCCCATTTGGCATGACGCTCAGCTTCATCGGCCATGGCGGCAAGAGTGTGGAAATCCAATTTGTGTGCCGCCTCTTGGCTCTTGAAATATGTTCACTACTCCTGAAACTATGTTGATGGACCGTATGATGTCCAGCCTAGCCATGATTCACACGATGCAATTGCGAACATAGAAACCTCCAAGACTTCATTTCCCTCAAAGTGTTAAGGATCTCCTGAACTGATGTGTTTTCTCCTTCTTGTCCATTTCATATCATCTCACATGATCTTTGGCATTTCAGCGTTTAAAGCCTTCTAAAACATCCATGACCCAGGAAATGAACATTCAAGCATATTCGACTCAGAGACAGAGAAACAAAGCTCATTGCACCCCAAGCCGGAAGCTTCCACCTGAGAGTATCTTTGATTTCGAAATAAGAGATGAAGGAAAGGAATGCCCAGGGACATTGTGAGCTCAATGCACCGATGTTGGCATGAATTATCTATCTCTATGCTGCTGGCATGAGAAGCATGCATTTGTTTACGATCAGAAGACAAGAAACACCCAAGGTGAAGTGCCAAGAGATAGAATGCTGCAAACATGGCAGAACACGGCATCTACAAAACTTGAAAGAGAGGGAGAGATAATTCCAGATATTTTGCCAAACAAGTATATATACATATATATATATATAAATAGTCTAAATAGAGGTAGACACATAGATACCTTTGGCCTTTGGATACATAAGGTAAATAGCGTGTTTCTGACTATATATCATTTTTGGCACCGACTACTTAGTCTCTCTTGGTGGCTCACGGGGGTGAGCAAAACCTAGAGAAAAGAAGTTGAGTGATAAAGCAATGTTGGCTGTAGTCTCTCTCTTGACATAGGTTTTCCAGATATTCCATCTGATGGTCCAGAGATAGAACCATTTGACATGTCGCAAAATAGTCCAACTGGAAGCATTCAGAAATGCCCTGCGACGCTCCACCTTTTCAACCAGGCCAATGGGTGGCACGAGCGCACAGCAGGAACCGTTGGCCTCTCATGGAACGCAGAGATGGGTTTCCACGACTTTCCAGTCTTTCTTCGTTTCCCAAGGAAACTGGGCAGGATCGTCGCACCTCAAATAGCCTGCCATGTCTTCATTCAGGCGGCCAATCTTCCAGCAGTTGTACTGGGGGCTCCAAAAAATGTGGGTGTCAGAGCAAATCAAATCCTTCTTGCTGCCTATCTGCTCCTCCTTGAGAAATACCCTTTGGTAGCACTGCTTCTCGCAAAAGTCGTCAGGCCGGCAATACCATAAACTGCACATCCTTTCAACAATTTTCTGACCTGGAACCGGTTCCTTCGACTGCTTCGAATTTGTCAAGGTCGTCAGAAGAAATGTTGGATCCTCAAACCCACGCTCGCGCAATTGCTCTTGAATCTCCTGACGTTCGTTGCCGAGAAGAAAAGGAACCAAAACCTTTGCTTGTCAAAATGACTTTCATAAAAAATTATCAACTAAGTAATGTGTACTCACAATGTTCCGTTTCAAAATCAAAAGCCGCTGGGTTGTAGAGACTGGAACTGTTTGCAATTCCAAAACATCCAAATGATGCAGCACTGTAGACGAACTTGGACATTAATCTCCTGGAAATCCGCTAAGGTTTCCATCCACAAATTGTTCTCTTCCTCCTCGCTCAAAGGAAGCTTCAAGACTCGGAAAGTCTTCACCTGTATAGGACAACACAAAGTGTGAGAATCGGAAGAAAATTTGAAGCTGTTGAATTCTACATGTCACAATGAAGAATCAGCAATAGAAATGGATAAGAATGTATGCAACATGGTTGAACCTAGCGAGTTTCAGTATGGAAATAGTAGGTCCGAATTTCGCTGACGCAAATCGAAATCAAATATGAGGAAACAAGATGCCTCAGCTACACTTAAATAGTAAAGATTCCTACCAGAACTGCGTAACCCAAGAACAAGAGGTATTCCAAGAGGTCATTCGTTTTGGCCACCGGCTTGCCTCCAAGTAATCATCTGCCTTTGCAAACTTGTATTGGCGGCCAGGCCACCCATCTCTTTTGTGTTTCCTTTTTTTGATCTCGACATGTCCCCATTTCTCTTCTGCAGGCAGTGATGTACCGAAGGACGACAACTTTCTGCCCGTCTGTATATATTCTAGAACACCGGCCCTATGGTAGCAAAATCCTTCCTCCTCAACTGTAACGGCAGCTGAAAAATTTGGGTCCAAAACCAAAAGCTGAAAGCTCAAATTACATTTCTGGACACAAAATGCTTGTATGCACACAGGCACTCTGCAGGAAACAGAAACTCTTTCAGTGCAGTTGGGCCATGAACATTTTAAGCCCAGAAAATCGGCAGAACCCAAAAGGAACTGCCACCTAGCTACCCAGAAAAGCTGGAGCGAACAAGAAGTCAACAGGCTACGTGCTGAACAAACATCAAGGACACCTACTAAATCGATGTCCGTGCTTTGAAACAATCAAAAGGCTGTATCACTGTTCTTCGGCACCCTGTCCTGGTTTGGAGGCACATGAATCCTGTGAAGGCCACTCGGCAGCTCGCGAAAGCCAAGACGCCAATCACGTGGCAGCCAATCTCCTGGCCAACGTGGAAACACATCATCATCTGTGACATACTTCTTCGTCGTGGTGTCATCATCTTCCGCCTTCTCCTCTTTGGGAGGCCTTTCCTCTAGCTCGTATCCTGGGCTTTTCAGACTTGAGCAGGTTCTTTCGATGATTGCAGCTGGTCTTTGAAAAAATGTTGCGGAAATCCCCAAGTGGGTCACATGGAAAAGGGCATGCAACGACCAAAACAATTCAGTCATGAGTCAGGAAAGAAAGTCAGGGAGGGAAGAAGCTGGGTTCGTGCATGTAATCTCTTTGAGGCAAAGAGCATTGACTTAACTTCTCTTTTGAAAGTAGACTGTGGAGAAACTTGGAAAATATGGCTTACAGTGGCTTGGAGCCACTGCTCTCAAACAGGTGAGCGTCCTAGAAACTTCTCAATGTCCCTCTTATGCCAGAACCGCCTGTTCTCCTCATTGAAGTAGCATGTCAGCACTTTGCCACTCTCTTCCTGTGTGCGCTTTGCTTGCTTCCACCCCTCTGGCAGCCAAAAAACCCACCTTCCAGGGTCAATCTTGGTGTCTGATGGCCATTCCTTGGGCGTCTTCAAGTGCGCGTTCTGAAGACCTCCGGCCTTCCTCGAGGATGGGTCCCTCATTTTCTGTTGGATCTGCTCGTACGTCCACAGCCTGCTAAAAAGCGGACTGCCAGCCTGGCAAACGATTTATCCATGTCCAGATCAAAGGTACGCAGGCAATTCATAAAATCCATCGAAATCCCCAAACCCTTTCCAAACCCTTTGCTTTCATGACTTTCCACTTCACAAATCACCCAGAATACAAGCTTGTGGCATACGTTTTGAAATTTGTCAGGGTTCAGCTCCCCTCCTGCCTTCTCCCATTTGGCACGACGCTCAGCTTCATCGGCCATGGCGGCAAGAGTGTGGAAATCCAATTTGTGTGCCGCCTCTTGGCTCTTGCAAACCGCTACCATTACTCTTGATGGATGTTGATGGAGTGAAAATCCTGCTCCACTCAAAATTAATGTTCCGGCAACTCAGCTTGTGGGCGGTCCCGTTGCATGCAATTGTCCAAGGCCTCAAGTTTCTCTCTTGGAGAACTACTGCAATGGATGAGATGGGCCAAACTGCAAATGAAGGACAAGGTTTGCGCCGTTGATTGCCATTGAGAAGTGCAAGTTGCAGGAATAAACATCTCTTCGGACCTATGTCATATTTCACATTTCAACTTGGAAAATTCAATCAAGCATCTGGCTGAGACCATTCCTTCCTCCAAGTCGCGATCATCCTCATGGCTCTCCTGTCGCGATGGCTCATACCCCAGGTCTCTTCTCTGTATCCACCAAAGATTTGGAGAACTGCTTCCCTTGAACCAACCAGTTTTTGGGGGAAGCGTGTCCAAGTTGAGTTTGAAAGTAGGATACCCCCTAAATCCCATGCTTCAAAATCATCATTTTCCCCAACTTTTTAATGTAGAATCACTTGGGATACCCAGCTCCTGTGCCAACAGCATCACCTCTGCTTCCAGCGGTGAGCCCTGCTCCAGAGCCCGGAAGAGCTGCTGGGCAAAGTCGCAACTCACCATGCAGGCGGGGATACCTGCAAGCCAGCTACCACCAGTGTGATGGGCTTATAACAAGCTATAGATGGGGTTATAACTTATAACTATTTATAACTTTTAACTGTCTGTAAATGTGGGTATAAGTTTATAACTAGCTGTAAATGGGATTGTAGCTAAAAAATTAGGCTGAAGTTAATATGTGAACTTTTCCAAGTTTTCGCCTTTCGCCGTCCCCTTGTGACAAGTTGTCCCACCTGGCGGCGCCCGGTCGTGGCGATACCCAAACGGTCGCTCTGCGCCGCGCTCGGCCGCGAAGATCACCGCCACGGCGCCCAGGGCCTCGGCCTCCGCGCAGCTGGCGCCGAAGTCGACGGTCTCCGGCCGCAGCAGCACCACACCGGGCTGCGCACGGCCGGAGACCAAGGCACCTGCAATGGAGGCTTCAAACGGGTTCAACATGTTTCAACCAGACCCAAAAGGTTGGCTGATTTTTTGGGGGTACCATAAATTTGATATTTTTGGGGTATATAAATTAGATCAACTTAGTGACTGCTGGTAGCTGGGGTTGTTACCCAGCCATAAATGGGAACTTACATCACCAGGGTTATTAGCCATGTTACATATGTTCTAAGTGAGATGGTCTGCCAGAACCTGTTGAAATTGCAGTCTGAAGTCACAAAGTTAATCAAAGTTACAAGAAAAAGATCCTGTTGGATGCGGAAGACAGGTCCGAATCAGGGAGTCTTCGGCACAAAAAAAAAAATCGCATTGCGCCTCGATAGCTCTGACTGGGCAGCAGTGCATTCCACTCTGCAGCAGCACCGGCGCAGGCCTCAGAGATCCGGGTGTTTGACGAAACCTGGGACCTTCCGCACTCGATGTGCATCTTACTGGTTTTTGGTGGTTGTCAAATTCACCCACCACTGATGGTTTGATATGGTTTGATATGGTTTGTATACTTTTCAGACCGACGAAAGGACTCTGAACAACTCCAGCATGCCCTGACTTTTTCGGCCAAGCAACCTGTGTCTCTTCGAGGCCTTCCTGCACTTCAAACACGCAGCAGAAACTGGAGCCCAGCTGCGTAGTGCCCAACTGGACAACAATGAAATTAGCAAACAAAATGATCACCAGATATCACCAGATATCACCAGATAACCAGCACATTTGATGCAGCATTGCGAGATATATAGAATCACCTCATGAGGTGCAACCATCCCATCTGGTGCGAGTCCAAGCGTCTATGGAAACGCGAACGGTCTCCACGGACAGGAACGACAGGTCAGGTGCCAAGGCCGCATCCCCCGCTGCGAGCTGATAACGAAGACCTTGTTGACTTTCACTGGCCTCAAATAGCAAAAGCTTCGGAAAATCGTTGCTGCATCTTTTCAAACATGTCCATAGGTCCATAGGTCATCATAGGTCCATAAATCTCCATCCAAATGACGGACAGTGATGGCTGTTAAAACAAACAGCAGGCAGAGAAGGATCTGCACTGTTGCTCAAACATACAATTCCCCTCAGATGGTGGGCCAAAATACAGGCACACTTCAAGATCTTCAAGCGACCCTGTGGCAGGTCAGTACAGTCCCTGCAGTCCCTGCGCAGCGAACCTCCAACTTGCCAATCTCCTGCCAGGTCCGGAGCGTCCACAGGAACTCCCACAGCATCTTTTGATATCGCATGACATGCGCGTCGCATGATGTCAATGTTGAATTTCTGCGGATTTCCGCAGATTTTTGATCTGATAAAAGCATTTAACTCATCATTTCTCTGTTTTTACGTGCTAAATTTTGACATCTTTTCACTGGCCCTTATCTGTTTGACTCGGAACTGCTGTTTTCCAAACCAAAACTACGGGCAAAGCCTGTACATGTTCCCTTGAACCAATCTGATGAGTGGCTTCATGTTTGTCAAAGGCCCATGTTTGATGCTGAACCACCAATGACTCCCATACCCTCTGGTAAACGTTTACATAACTATGGAAAATCACCAGTCCTAATGGGTAAATCAGCGAACTAAATGGCCATTTTCAATAGCTATAGTTGTTAGTTTACCAGAGGGTAGTGCCCAACTCTTTCCCTCGCCTTCTGCAGCTTCTCCAGCTTTTGCTTGGTGCGACTCTGCACCGTTCCTTCCCAGTCGGCCAAGGCATGCTCTTCCATCGGTAGAAGTGAGGTGCCTACACAGCTATACCTGGCCAGTTGATCTGCCTGAGAAAAAAAAACACCATGGTTTGGGTCAAATATGCGGAAAAATTAAATCAGATTATTCAATTATCCCCAACTTTGGGAAATTTCAAGTGGAAAGATGATGATACGCCAATGGGATTTTGACTTCCGAATTTCGCGACAGAATTCGGAGTAAAGCTTCAGAACGGGACGAAGCACATGGTGATCCCCAAAGCCATCCGTTGAACTTGGTACACTTCTTCGTATCAAACTTGGTACATGGATCCAACAAGAAACACGACTGGCTTTAGGCCCATCCCCAGCCCTCACAGCTGGATCTGGGGTTCCACACCAACCCATCTGCGCGAGCAACTGGTCACGTTCTTGTGCAGCGGCGAATGCCATTCCAGCGCCGAAGGACAGCAAAAGAACACTATCCTGAGGAAATCACGAAGCTTTGGAATTCGAAACTCGTGGCCGGCCATTCATTGTGATATAGATTGTCAAGCTGGAGCCTCAAGGGCTTTAACCACTGTAGCAGTAACAAAACGAGAATCTTCAGCCTCTGCACTGGCACAAAGCTTATCCTTATCCCAAAATGTTTTTTACCACATTTTCCTCTTCATATTCTTCGCCCTTCCCCCTCCACGGTGGCAACCCTGTCTGCCATTCTGCCATGTCTCCAGTACAAAGCCAGCCAGGTTGGCCACTCCAACATCGGTACTCTCCCTGGGGCGCAGCACCACTCCCTCGTTGTGCCATTCCAAACGAGGCCGCGGCAAACACGCCCAAGGTGGATCTGCCAGAAACCGCGTGCGGATGAGATGCGCCAGCTGTGGGAAGCCTGCAGCCGAATTGCTCGGAGGGGCTGGTACCCAAGTGTGAGATGGTTGAGAGACATGGTCGGATTACTTTGTTGATTCATCTGTTCTATTATGTTCTATTGCATGCATAATACATCATACACTGACTATCTACATCATACACCCATCATTTCAACGGTCATCCAATCTTCGCCCCGTTTGGCCCTGTGTGTCTCACCAAACCCCGCCTGTCCATTCAGACTGACGCCAGGCCACATGCCAGCCTTTCCAGCCCAGCAGCAAGGGCCCAATGGAATCCAACTGAGATTTGGCGGTGCCACATAGCTGCCACACTGCCACACCTGAGCGCTAGCACAGGCACCAAGACTCAACGGGGAGTGCGAGGGAACCCCAAGATGAAAAAAAGCCCAGGGCTCAAAATCGCTCCAACGGAACGAAACCTAACCCGTTTAGTTGGTCCATTGTGCCCCCCCATAGTCGCCATACCCAACAAGTTGACCAGAAAAAATTGATGGCAAGCCTGCTTCTCGAAACTCGTCGGCCAGGCGCTGCAGGGAAGACCAAGCTGAGCCAGGGCAGTCCTCGCGGGATTCGTCCTATTTCGAACTGTCAGTTAGCAGAAAATCTGATTGAAGAATGGATGTGCCTGACTCGAACTTGAGAACGAACACATCAAATTCTAATGCATAAGAGTTGTAACCAAGACGTTTCCCCCAAGATCAAGCACCTCAAAGTCGGTCGAGGCCTGACATGGTGTTGGGTCCAATTTAAGAATCCCTAAAATAATTCACCTACTTACTTTACTTACCTTTGCAGTACGTATAAGAAACCCAAGACTGCATTACCGTGCTCCGGTAGCCGCATCCTGCGGTTCATCGATGACCAACCTCCTCCACCCCTGCGAGCTCATGAGCTCACTGGCCTCCTCGTAGTCCATGACCTGGCAGCATGATGAATGATATATTGATGATAATGATTCGGGAGAATCATGAAACATGATTGAATATGATGATGTTCAACAATACTGATAGTTTCAGAACAAACTGAGATTCAACAACCATTATATTTTATAGTACTTAATTATGTTCAATGATCCATGGATGATCCAAGTTAAGATTACCAACTCCACATCGTTCCACACCTCCGACTCCAAGGAGTTTTGTCCCGCCAATTCTTCCCGCCACTGCCGCAGGAGATGCGCAGGCGCCACGATCCTTGGGCAAATGACATGTATGTGCCTATGATACACTCAACGAATGTCAACTTCCTGTCAAAATTGTGACAACGTGTGGGATTGAGAAGTCAATGTGGCCAACAAACTGGGGGATTTTTTTTTGCAGGTTCATCCTGTGTGAATGGTTTGCATCAGATACGGATTTGATCGGTTCGATCCTTCGAATCGGGTGAGAAAGTTTCAAGTTCACCTGACGGAAACAGGCTGGCCACTTTCCTAGTTCAAAGACTTACAACCCTATAGGCCTATAGGATCCTATAGGTCATTCGGAGTCTTAGACCATTCTCCAACGATCTTTCAGTGTGCGGTTCTTCCCCAACGATTCCTCCAAGCTGCAGGGTCTTCAGCCGTCGTGGCACGGCGTGCGAGGCGGCGCCCGGCACCTGTCCGTTGGCAGAGGACACCTCTGTGAGGGTCACCTGGAAAATACCCTCTGGTAATGACTAACATAGCTATTGAAAATCACCTTTTTTAATGGGAAAACTCACTATAAATGGCCATTTTCAATAGCTATGTTAAATTACCAGAGGGTATCAAAACGTGCCCTGCACGCCCTGCAAACCATTGACTGACAAAAGGCATGTTATGGCCACTGGGGTCTGAATGATGAGGCAGGATAACCTTCCCCAGCCACAGCCTCAGGCGTTTGCGCGGAAGGCTGCAAGGACACACCACAAGGGCAGAAATAGTGGAGCCAGTCATCCTGGGCCGCAATGCTGCAAAGCATCATCGGACTGCAGCAAAATGTGCAACCAAATCTCAAACAACTGAATCACAATATGCTCTGAAACTTCCGCTCTACAGCTAGTGTACATGCGCGTGCGAGTCCGAATTTCTGAACTATTGTCATCCTTCAGTATTTTATTGCTGCGATTCATGAAGCATTCCACCAGCTGCTGTGGATTTTAAAACTTAGAAGTTGACATGTGGTGGCATGCACCAAACATAGCATGGCCACTGCGCAAGGATGACATGTGACTGCCATTGCAAATTGGCTCAAGCCAACGAAAGTTGGCACAAAGGCGAGACTGAAAAAGTCTTGCTTAGCAGCTGCTGCTTCAGCTGTTGATCCACGGGTTATGAGCCCAAAGGATCTCAGCTGACATGGAGTTGGCCAGTCGTCGAGAGTCTTCTCTTCAGCGAAGAGCTGCTGCTGCTGTTAGCGCTGTGAAAGCTGCCAGCTGCGCAGACGACCTGATGGAGGAGATGTTGGAGGAAGCCTCTGGGTCCAAAACTGGTGGGTCCGTTGGAGCTCTAACTGGTGAACCTAAAACCACTGAAACTGTGAATAGTGGGGGTATGTTAGATGCTTTGGGACCTGTAGGACCTCCGTTGTCTTTTTCCCCTGGCCAGCCACCCGTGTTAGTTGAGAGAGCTAAGGGAATGCAAAACCTCGAGGTGAAACAGAATGTTGAAAACACACCTGGTGTCAAAAGGGTCGTTGTGACAGAGCAACAAACTGGAAACCCACCAAATGAGGGGCATAGAACTACCACCGAACCAGTGCAGGGGATTGTGAATGAACATAGTCCTAGAGATGGTGCTGGCAAGGGAAAGGGGTCTGGCTCTGAGTCTGGTAGGAAAAATGTTGCCGCAGAAGCACAACACTCAAACCGGGATGTGCAGAGCTCACGTGTGAGGGGTTCTGAGGGTGTTGAAAATGTGTCGCAGGGCTCACGAATGAGGGGTTCTGTTTGTGAAACTGTGTCCCAAGACTCACGCATGAGGGGTTTTGGTTGTGAAAATGTGTCTCAGGGCTCACATGTGAGGGGTTCTGAGGGTTGTGAAAATGTGTCTCAGGGCTCACATGTGAGGGGTTCTGAGGGTTGTCAAAATGTGTCGCAGGGCCTCACTGAAAAGGGTTCTGTTGTTGTGAGTGAAACCATGCCTCAGGGCTCCGCGAAGGGTTCAGGGGTTCAAAGGTTTTACATAGGTGATGGGCCTCAGGGCTCCGGAGCCGTTGTTGTCGCGCCTCAGGGTAGCAAAAATGTTGTTGTGGTTCCAGACCAAATGGGGGAAGTTGTGAATCCCTTCTGGAGCGAAACTCAGCAGCGTGAAGCTGTTCGAGAAGCATTCGGGCCTGGGTACGATGTGAGTGCCTTGGGTTTGCAGCCGGGTTCAAATGCGTCGACACCCCAAAAAGTTCATGTGGAACAAAGGGAAAGTGTTGATGTTGAAATGGATCCAATAGAACTGTTCCGATTGCGTTGTTTGAGAGATGCTGAAGAAAAGTTTCGGCAGGGTTTGTTGAATATGGGGATGAGTGCCAAGGAGTCAAGGGTTGAAAAACATGAGCATGAAAAAGGGTCGCATGGTTCTCAAAGTTCATATGTTTCGGCAGTGGATTTCCAAGAGCCTGTTGCCCCCAAATCTCATGATGTGGTTGAATCCCAAATGGTTCATGATCCATATGTGAGGGTTGTACCTGAAAAGGCTGTGACGTTCACGAGGGTTGCACCTGAAAACGTTGTGTCAACTGTGTCAAATGTTGTTGAACCATTTGTGCCTAGGCCACCACCTGGACCTCCACCACCATCGCCGCCAAGAATGTTGAATAGTGTATGTGGGTTAGGGTCAGTAACACCTCAATTCCCTCCTGCACTGCCACCTTTTCCTGCGTCTGTGGCAGGAAACTTGCAAAACTCAGGTGGTGAAAATCCATCTGAAAATCTCAGGACGGTGGAGCTTCCGAAGTTGTCCATGGATGCCACTGCTCTGCAATTTGGTGATTGGCTCAGCATCATCGATTCTCTCATGGGTGACTTGTCGTACTCGTCGGGGGATTGGTGGACCATGGTCAGGGGAGCTGTTGATCAGTGTTATAGGGATTGGTTGAATGTTGGACCAATTGAAAGGCTTAGGCTTCGACCACAGGTGGATCCTAGGGTTCATCTTTGGCCTCGAACGGAAAGAAGGGCTTTAGCCATGCTTTTGGGAGCCATTCCTGACCCCATCAAAGAAGAAGTGATTTCAGCTCGAAAACTGACCACTGACCAAGTGTTGTACAAGTTGTGCATCACCTTCCAACTGGGAGGTGCTACTGAGCGCACGAAGTTGTTGCAGAACATTACGGATTCCAAATGTGGTTCCAATGTTCATGAAGTTTTGGACTGGATTCGAACCTGGCGACGGTTTGTTCAAAGGGCCAGGGAACTCCATGTCACGTTGCCTGATGGTTTGGTTTTGCTAGGGGCTTTGAACAAATGTACTGATGTTTTGAGTGGAAAATCCCCACAAGTGGCATATCGTCTCAACATGATCCGCCAGCAGTTGAATGTGGATCAGTTGCCAACAGCAGAGACGATCCTGAGCTACTCCGAGCATCTGCAAGCTGAAGCTGAAGAGCTGACTTTGAGCGCGCCTGCGAAGGCAACTTCGGCTGTGAGGGCTGCTGCTTTGGGTGTGCCATTGCCTCCTGGGATCCCTCAAAATCCTCAAAGTTCCCCAAAACCTCAAAATGAATCGGATCCGAGGTTTCCGAACTCAAAAAGAAAGCCTTGTAGGTATTGGATGAGTGAAAAGGGGTGTACCAGGGGTGATCAATGTTCTTTTGGTCATGCGAATTTGGACCCCCAAAGTAACCGATGTTTCAACTGTTCTGCTGTGGGTCATTCAAAACGTGACTGTCCTTTGAAGAATACAGGGTCGGACCCCAAACATGATCCCACCAAAAAGAGGGTTGCCAAGGTGTCAAAACCAAGTGGAAAAGGGACCCCCGAAAAGTCTGGGAAGGGTAGTGGGGAACATAGTAGCCCTGAAAAAACTACTGGGGATGTTGCTGCAGCAGAGAAGCCTCTTGGATCTGAAACTGCGTACAGGACTGGGCCGGAAACTGGGGACGGGGGAGAAAGTACTCCTGAAAGGGTCACTGGGCTGTTGAGTGAAGCCACTACCCTCCTGAAAACCCTTAAACCGGTTGCCAAAGCTGTCAAAATCAAAAGGGTGAATGCTCCTGATGGACCCACAGGTCTTTTGGATGGTGGGGCAACAAACGCTTTGAGAAGGGGAACCCCAAAAGAACTGGCTGAAGCTGATCCTGTCGTTGTGGAGTTAGCACATGGGTCGGTTGAACTGAAACAACATGCTTTGACGGGGACCATTCTCACTGAACATGCGGTTGAACCCATTGTGCCATTAAGGGGATTAATTGACCTTGGTTTTGTCATCAAATGGAGTACCCATGGTTGTGAAATCAAACATCCCTCAAGAGGAACCATTCAGTGTTGGTTGCGAAATGGGTGTCCTGTTGTGTCTGAAAAACATGCGTTAGGGTTGATTCATGACATTGAATCTTTGGAGTTAGCCAAAAGAATCCCTTCTGAAAGTCCTGAAACCGTGTCTGAGACTGCACATGAATGGTGGTCACAAAGGTTTCCGAATGTTCCCAAAAGAATTTGGAGATACATGAAGGGTCAAGGGGTTGAAACTCCCGGGGTTCACTTGCCTTGGAATCGTGCCCAAAGGCGTCGACATGCCCAAGCTAAGGCGATTGTCATCCACTTGTATGCCGGTGAAGCATCTAAGGATTGGTGTCTTGGTTGGCCTGCTGACGTTGAAATGATCACCTTGGACGTTCGAGATGGTCAGAATGTCCACGATGCTGCAACTTGGGCCTACCTTTGGCGACTTGCTGCATCTGGTCGTGTCGTAGCTGTGTTGGGGGGGCCACCATGTCGTACTGTGAGCAGATTGTTGGAGAAAACACCAGGACCACCAAGGTTGCGTTCAAGAAATGGTCCTGAAAGGTTTGGGTTTGAACACCTCAATGAATCCCAACAACAAAAAACGGACAGTGACACTGCGCTGTATCTGAAACAGTTGGGGTTATACATGCATGCTCACGAGTCATGGGATGGTTCAAGATGGCCCCACATGAAACATGTTGCGAATAGGGTTGGATTTATGTTGGAATCCCCTCAAGACCCCAAAACTTACCTCCAAAATGGTGAAGGGGATGAGTCTGCGAGTTTTTGGGCTTGGGATGAAACAAGGGATTTTCTTGAAGCTTTCCAACCAAATGGAATGGAGTTGATCAGTTTTGACCAGGGTGCGTTTGGGCATACTCGGAAAAAACCCACAACATGTATGACCAATCTCCCTGACATGAAAGAACTAGATGGCTGTCGCTCTGGTGAACGTGAACGACATTTGGCGGTGAACTTGGATGAAAGGTTGAACCAAACTGCCTCTTGGTCTCTTTGGGCACCAGGGTTGAGGGCTGCCATCAAAACGTCTTTGTTGGTTTTGGTTGAATGGTATGGGATCTCACCACCAAAATTGTCCAAAAGTTTGGGGTTGGATCAGTGGAAACAACATATCAATCAAGGACATCAACCATACCGACGAGATTGTAGGACATGCATACTTAACATGGCTGGGTCAAAACCACACCGACGTAGGGAACACGCTGGGAGTTCTGCTTGGACCATGTCTGTTGATTTGGTGAACCTCCCCAAAGCACGTGACCTTGCTACCAAAAGAGTTGTGAGATATGGTTTGGTTGCCACAGCCCTTGTTCCAGTGTTTGACTCTCCTCCGGGGGACGAAACGTCAGCTGCCGAAAAGCCGCTTGTTGCTGGCGATGTGTCTTCCGATGCTCCGCAACCAATGGAAACTGTGGATGCATGTTGGGGGGAGGGACTTGATGAAAAGGAATATTCCCTTCAGGGGGACGAAAAAACAGAGGAAAACCCTGAAGGTGATG